TAGTGGTAACTCGAGCAATTCATCTAGAAAGATATCCAAAAAATTTGACACTATCAATACCGCGTCAGATTGAGATTTATCTCGATCATCTCTCATTAAGCTAGCTAAGAAACTCAAATGGCTACACATCTTCGCTTTCAAGAATTTATTACCCGTAGTGAAAAATGTGTGGAACGAATTTCGATCATTAATGAAAATGAAAACTACCCCACCCGGTAATTGAAATAAGATCCGTTTACAAAAATAATTCATTACCGCATGAAAAGTGGATAACAAGTTCATTCCAAATATTATGGCATAATCCCTCATGTCAAACGCAACCAAGTCTACAATTAATTCTTGCTCCCCAATTCGAAGCACACAACCTCTACACACCCTTCTAGTATCCAACCGTTCTTCCGTAGGTATGTCAATACCCAAAGCATATTCTAGATCCTCAAATTCTAATCCCAATTTAATAGCATATGTAATACGTATGAAGGAATGAGTAGCACCAGGATCAAATAAAATTTGGGCCCAAGAATTATAAACGAGCACAATACCTTCCACAACTGTATTGGAAACATATTCCTCCGGTTGGGTCAAAGCAAAAACTTTTCCTTGATTGGTACCGCCTGGGGCTGTAAGCCCTAACAATTTTGTTGTAGTGACTTCTATAGTGGTGGTTTATTTGCATTTACCTGTCCTGTCGTTTGGGTATTTTTCTAGGGTGAAAAGATCGAACAATAATTTCAAATATGCCTCAGACCTCCACACGCAAAGCAGGCTCGTGGGTCTACTCCTACCCTCTTCGATAAGCCTCCAACTGCTCGAGCTGTCTGAAATCTCTGTCCAACCACTTGGTTTGGGTGACAGTCTGGTGTCGCCCTTCGCACTCCAGTGCTACTAGCACCGGTCCGGATCAGACCTCTTATCGTCTCTGATTGTCCTCTATGTCTCTCTCCACTAGTACAGCTCTATCGACAAGATCCCCATAGTCCCGGATCTTGTAAACCACAACCTTTCCCCTTATGGCAGGCCTCAAGCCTTGCTCAAATCATTTAGCCCTCCTGGCCTCAATAGAGATGAACTCCGTGGCATAGCAGGATAGTTCATCAAACTTTCTCTCATAATCTGTCACTGTCATGTTTTCCTGTCTTAGAGCCAGGAAATCCAAACTCATTTTGTCCCTGACCGATTCAGAAAAATACTTGTCTTGAAAGATCTGATCAAACTTTTCTCAAGTAAAAGCATCAGTGTTCCTCCTTTTAACCGAGTCCCACCAATGATCTGCCTCTCCTTCTAGCAGATATGTAGCTAGGCTGACCTATGAATCCTCTACAACTCCCATGTTATCACACATTTTCTTCACCCTATGAATCCACTTATCTGCATCTAAAGGGTGAGGGCTTCCTTGAAAAATAGGTGGGCGTTACCTCAAAAATTCTCTAAGAACTATCATCCTTCTATTTTCGTCCCCATTGCTTGGTACAAGAACTAATGGTTGAAACCCTGTGATTGTTGTTTCCATTCTGGTGTTGTACCAGAGTGATTAGCTCCCTTAGGCATTAATAAATGTCATTCATGGCATCGGAAGGTGGTGGGTTAGCTTGACCTCTACGCCCACGTCTATTTCCATGTCCACGTTCACCGTCCATTCTGCACATAACTTACAATTTAGTTTTCTTAATGTACTAGACACCCTAACTATCACTTTAATTCAAAGCATAAGACTTGTATAAGAATGAAGTCAACAATTCATTTGACCTAGTCCTACCGCTCTAGTGGTAATTCATAACCTACAGTTTCTGTATAAGACCTAATTCCTAAGCTCTGATACCAAACCTGTAACGCCCCCAAATTCACCTTGGAAGACATTATTATTTATAACCATTCATACAATGAGAACACTAATAAAATCCATAAAGAAACAAATTTTCCTTCATCATCCATAATAATTAAAGCATCATCCAAAATAATATGTCAAACTATGGCAATTACATCCAAAAATTAAACTTTATCTTGCAGTGGAATAAATAAAATATTAGCCTTAACATTATCTCAAAATTTGCCTCCCAATCTAGAACATAAAGGAAATAGCTCTAGATGTCCACCTCAGGATCCACGTTCCCATCAACCTGAGCTTCCCAATTCATCTGCCTATCTAATCCAAGCTCTTTCTCTAGACCAAAATCTTAAAATGTTGTTTATAGAGGGTGAGCACTAAGCTCTGTAAGAAAATCCTCTCAAACTCGAACAAAGTTTAGAAACATATAAAACAAGTCTATCTCATTTCACAAATATCATATATAATTTTTGAAATAAAATAGTGACAATTCATTAAATCTCAAGTTTACATAGTAGCAATAAATTAAATGAAGAAGTAAAATCAATTTTCAAACAATAAACCATTTTCAACCATAAACCATTTCCAACAATGTGTCATTATTCACTATTTTGTATCATTATCCCCAATTATATCATTATTCTCAATTTATCTTAGGTAGGAAGTAAGACTTGTATGAATACACACATTGAGAATATCATGTCCCACACACACACTCAACCCTCGCAAAGATACACAATTTTAGGAATGACGTATACCGACGCATCAACAGTGACGAATTCAACCCAAAAATAGTATACTAACCCTCAGCCTCGATACCACGCGAACGAATAGTGATTTGGTCCTCGCAAGACACTAACCCCACTACAAGTGATAGAGAACCTTTAAACCCACACAGAGTAAGAAACGCATCTACCCACTCCAAGATACTCAATCAACGGTCACCCCATGTTTATCCAAACATCCATACAAGAGATACAATACTCAACTAATTTCTCAAATCACAAGTAAATCAAGAACTCTCAAATTTCACATATATTTTTTCAACATAACATCTCAAGAAAATAAGCAAGAGATCATCAAAAGATATAATTTTATTGTTCCAAATAAAGCACTAGAGTTTTAGAATCAAGAACAATGGAATATCAAGGAAACAATCTCTATTTCTTGAAAAACAAGGGTTTTGAGATTAAAAACAAGGATATTAGAGCTATCAAACCATAACTTCATTCAAACACATGATATGATTTGCAAGAATATCATGAAATAAGGATTCTATAACAAATATCTATGATTAAAAGTCAAAACATACATATATATAAACCATAACCTCAATGGACAAGATTAGGAAGAAATTCCTTCCTTGCTTTAGTAGTTTTGTAAGAAATTTAGAAGATTTGATTCACTTCAATGTGAAAATCCTCCCTTGATCTTTTTTTTTTTCTCATTCTTTCTTACTCTCTAAGACTCTCTAGGGTTAGAGATGTTGAAATGAGACTAAGAGAAGTGTCCTTAAGTATTTATAGTAGGAAAAACAGTCCCCTGTGCGTAAATTTGAAACTCAGAATCGTAACTCACGTTTGAACGTCATTGTGGCGTTTGAACGTTAGTAGTGCAAATTACTGCCTCATGTTTGAACGTCATTATGGCGTTGGAACGTTAGTTACTCCCAGTACTTTTACTTTTTCATCATAGCTCTGCAGACACCATAATACTGGGACTCACCGTCGTTTGAATGTAAATTCACGTTTAAACGGACTCCCAGTTTGTTTTTGAAATTTTCAGTAAAGTTTTGACCTATTTAGAGGTTAATTTGGAATTTTTTTTGGAAATACTCTTTTGTAGACTTGGAAGTCTAGTGTGTACTATAAAAATTTTAGAACAACAGACATCGGAGTACAAAGTTATGGTCTAAATACTAAGGCAGTTCAAAATTCTTTCTACCCAAGTTCTATCAAAAATGTGTTTTAACTCCAAAACACTTCTTAACTTCTACTTTTACAACTTATATAATTCATGTTTCCCTCACTACATATATGAACATTTCAAAATCATTAAGTTATTATATAAAGACAAGAATGTGGGGGTTTATAGAGTCATGATTAGAAATACACTTAGAAATTTAGGTGGAGTTTAATAAAGCTGAAAATTAAACACTGAAAACTAAATGCCGAATTTTAAGTGCTGAATACTAATTTTTTAAATCACAGACTATTTGTTATCAATTGAAATTTAAGTAATAAATTTAATCAAATTTTTTGACAAATATAAGAAGCTGAAGTCTAAAAATTATTATTATTATAATTTTACCCTTCTCTTTAACCATCTCTTCGCAACTGCCTTATTCTTATCACCACCAAAACAATGGTGGTGGTAATGGCGACGGCAGTGGTGGTAGTGACACAATGATAATGGTGACGACATCGATAGTGATGGTGATAGTAGTGGTAGCAGCAACACTATGGTGGTGGTGGTGGCGACACAATGATAGTAGCGACAATAACGGTGGTGGTGGTGACAATGACAATGGTAGTGGTGGTAACAGTGGCACAATAGTGGTGGTAGTGACGACGATAGTGATAACGGTGACGACAACAGTGGTAGCAGTGACACAATGATAATGATGGTAATGGTGGCATAATGGTGGCGGTGACCGTGACATAATGGTAGTGGTGGTAACAACGACATAATAATGACGATGGTAGTGGTGATAATAATGGTGGAGGTGGTGGCGGCAACAATGATGGTGGTGGTGGCGATGACATAATGGTAGTGGTGGTTGCAGCGACATAATGACGGTGATAGTAATGATGGTGGAGGTGGTGACTGTGGCACAATGGTAGTGATTGTGGTGGTGATGGTTGCACAATGACAGCGGTGGTAATGACGACGACGATAGTGGTGGTGGCGGCGATAACACAATGGTGGTGAGAGTATATTTGTAGATTATGAGAAATTGATAAATTCCTTACTAACTAATATTTTTATCATTAAAAGTGATAAGTAGGTAGCTTATTATTTAAAATTTTAACCTATTTTTAAGAAGGGTTTAAAATATGAAGTAATGTGAATTTTAAATTATCAAATTGATTTAATTTATTAAATATTTAATTTTAAATCCTAAGTGGTGTTGTCCGGCAGTCCAAACCAGTCATCATTTGACTCGCGCTTATTGCGTCAATCCTACGTCTACACAGCATAGTATATGATAAACAAAATATAAAGGAGAAAGTTTATCGAAGAAGACGACTCTTTGGAAGAGAGAGAGACAAAGCACTGCCTTGTAGCTTCCGACACCCGCTCTGTAATTGGACTCCGAGGTCAGTACTCTATTCTAATGGTAAAACCCTTGTTATTTATCAGATCTTCTTCATAAGCACAAGCTCAAATTGTTGTTGAAGCCCACCGATGAACTATTTCTATCCTATAATTAGATTTATTTTCTCTGGGTAGAAAAGGAAATGCTTTACCTAGTTGAAGCGTGTTGGATGAAAGAAAAGAGTTTTATGGTGTATTAGGGGCAAATGGGCAATGTTAACGGTATAAGCAAAGCTCGTTGATGCTAGAACGTGAGTTTTCTGTTTTTATTGTAAATTTCTATTTGGGTATAGATAATTGAAGCCAATTATGTAAAACAGTATGATTTTTCATCGCTGAACTATATATATTTTTTTAATTTGATGATTTTTTTTCTTAGGAAAAGGGGTTGCTTTGAATTTCGAGTTTTAATGGTGTATTTGGTGCAATGTTGATCAGGTATAGCTGCATCAACGAACTTGGTCGATGCTAAGATATGGAATTTATTTTTTTCATTTGAAATTTTGAAATGGGTTAATATTAACCAAGCCAAATGTATGTGATGAATTAATTGTTTTGTTGTTATTGCAGTCAATGCTTTTAATTAAAGGACTTTGCTTTTGTTTTGTTTTTTTTTTATTTTTTTATCATTCTCAGAAATAGAGAAATTTGATGTGAACTTGTTTATACTGTGTATTTGGGTATCTCTAATCTTGACTCAAATTTGAGTAAAAAACTTGATTTGATACAAAGGCTCTAATGGGCAAACTTAAATTTAAAGAAAGACACACTCAAATTTGAAGGAGGACAAACTCAAATTTAAAGTAGGATAAAATATGACCGATAAATTTTAAAGGAGAATGAAATCTGAATATTGGTGATTTGAGGAAAGGTTTGAGTCTCCTTTAATTTGAGTAAAAAATTGAGTCTCCTTTCATTTGGTATGAATCTGAGTAAAAGGTTGAAACTTTTTTTTAATATGTTTTTACTCAAATGTAAATTTGATTCAAGATTTGAGTAAGGATTGAAGATGTTCTTTGGTGCAATATTGTTGACGTGCGATACATGAACAGGTTGATGCTACTATTTGCATATCTGTTGTAAATCTCCGACTGTATATCATGTAGATGGTGCCACTTTTTGCAGGCTCTGTTCTCTTTCCTTGCACTAACTTGGGGTTTTCGTTGTTGTGATAATATGAGTATTGCCGGCTCTTCTCTGGGTTCTGGTTAGTTTTCTTTCTCTATGTTTCATTCCATCTCTTTATATTCACTGCAGATGATTATAGTGAATCTAATATAGCCATGAGTACCAGGACAAGAAGTGACGAATATTCTTTAAAATTCTTTGTTTTATGTTCATTTGGTTCATGGCATAGTAGAAAAGGAAAACCAGGCTAAGCAAGTAGTTACTCTAAGAGAGATTGAATGGGTTGTTGGTTCTCTCATATTCCAAAACTGAAATAACTTGAATCTTATGACTATCCGTCATTTCTTGACTATCAGAAACCAAATGAAGCATTAGTTTGCTTATGTATCTTGGTCTCTCTCATTGTGTCCCTCTCCCCCCCCCCCCCCCTCTTCCTCTTGTGTGTTTACATATATTTCCTTTTTCTGTAGATTTTGTTCCTTTCACTAGGATACTCTATTGCAATTCCATTACAGGTGGTAGAAATGTTAAAAGGGCATTTGAATTTGGGCGGACATCTGTTGTGAGGCCCAAAGGCAAACACCAGGCAACTATAGTATGGCTACATGGCCTTGGTGATAATGGTAACAGGTACATTGTGTTTTTTCCCTTTCACCAAACCCCCCACCCCCACAAAAAAAAGAATTAAAAAAAGGATGTTGGGAGCGGTAGACTAGGTCACTAAGTACTAATCTTTGGTATTATTTACAGAAAATGGTTGCCCTCAAATTTGAACCCATATCCTCGCATGAGCACGGAGCCCTACACTAGGCAATGACCTTAGTGGTTCATTAAGAGCTATGGAGTTTTTTCACATGGTCCTTAAATTGATTGTCACGAAGTTGCAATATTTTTTTTTTTTTTTTTGATAAGAGCCAAATATTTATTAATGCGGTCATAAAAAACATTACATAAAGCAAAAAGGGTGGATAATATATCCAACCTTAATGAAACAAAAATAAAAGAAGTAATAACAGCAAAAAAGCAAAAAGGTCTAAAAGCTATCAACTTGGGCTATCTATAAATCACAAATAACCCTCCATCCTCCCAAAATACTAGGGTGACCGGGCTCAATCACTAAAATTTTGGAGGGAATCATCAGTATTGATCTTGTCATGACCAATAGTCCATGCACAAACATTCACCTTACTAGGCACTTTAGCCTTCCAAATCATCAATGAATGAAGAAAAAGGGGACGAATATGATCATCAATCAAGGACTCAAACAAAGAAAAACAAGAAAATAAACTCAAGGACTCAAGCACCCATTCTTTTTTGTCAATGGAATCATTGTGTATATGTGAACATCATTGAGTAAGAAAAGAAGTGACACCAAATCAAGAGTATATCTATTATTTAGATTCCTATGAAACCCAATATCCCAAGACAAAGAATTAGAGCTCAACCGGATCATGGAACTAATATGCACATTATGAGCCCGAAATAACCAATAGAGATGAGGAAACAAACATGAAAATGAAGAACCCCTCATGAAAAATCCTCCCAAAAATTGAATTTTTTATCCATTACCCACGACAAAGTTGACGTGAAGGGAAAATCGGGGTAAACTATCCCAGAGATAAATTTTCATGGGCTTCGGGAACTTTCCCTTTTTCTTTTTACCCTATTAACATTACATCAATTAGCTTGCAATCCATATTTGTTTTTGATAATAATTGCATGCCATAGAGAATTTTGTTCCAAAGGAAATCCCCAAAGTCATTTTTCAATTAAAGCCACATTGCTTGCCCTCAAATTTTCCACTGAAAAACACCCTTTATCCTTGAATTTAGAGATCACCTCTCAATTAATTAAATGGTCATTATTTCCTTCTCCACTTCCTTGCCACGAAAACTCTCTCTTCATTTTTCAATCTTATGAAGAATCACGATTGACCTTTTAAAGAGATATAAAAAGTAGATAGGGATACTAGACAAAACTAACTGAACTGAAGTTAATATATCCCTTTTAGAAATGATAGCTCCCTTCCATCCATCTGACCTCTTCCCTACCTTTTCAACGACAGAAGCCCAAAATCTCAAAGATAACATTTTCCTACCCAAAAGAAGACCAAGATATTTAAGGGACCATTCTCCAGTAAAACACCCTAAAGTATTAGTCAAACCTATTAACTTTCATTGGATTAAAGTTTATACCCATAACTAAGCTCTTTTCCAAATTTACTTTCAAATCTGAGACAATTTCAAACACTTCCACAATTGTGTTAAAAGTTCATAAATTTTTTCTCATTTCCCAAATAAAAGAAAATGGTATCATCTACAAATTTTAGGTATGACACTGAAACCTTCTCTCTTCCAATCACAAAATCACATCTTTCAGCTCTCATTTTAAGTCTACCCAATTTGGTGGCTATCAAGGTAAAAGAAAAGGCGGCAGCCCCCTAGAAACCTTAATTTTTTTCCCTTGGTTTATCATTTATGATGACTGGAAAAATTCGTTGACAGAAGCACACTCTAATACTTCTCACATCTGCCCAAAACCTTTCATCCCCAACACATAATTATTACAAATTCAATCCACATGATCACAAGCCTTCTAAAAATCAATTTTAAACAATAAGTCCCTCATTCCCCCTACATCTATAATCTTTTACCATCTCATTAGCCACAAGAGCAACATCTAAAATTTATCTTTCTTTAACAAAAGAACTTTGATTAACCGAAATGTTTCAAGAATCTACCTAAGTCTCATGGATAAAACTTTTGTAATAATCTTATAAAGGCTTGAAATCAGACCAATCAGCCTTAAATACTTAATTTTCAAAGATTTTTCTTTCTTCGGTATAAGACAAATGAAGGTAGCATTGGTAATTCCATTAATCACATCATTATGAAAAAACTACAATAATACTTTCATCAAATCCTCTTTAATTACCTCCAAACAAACCTGGTAAACAACCATAGTGAAACCATCCGTACTTATGCCTACTACACTCAAAAATAGCTTTTCTAACCTCTATCTCGTCAAATGATCTCTCCAACCAAATTGCCTTCCCACCATCAATGGGGCTCCAATGCAATACAAATTTGGGCAATTTGAAGAGTAAATAGGTAACACATAATTGGTTTACAACTTGTAAGACTTGTAATCTTAAGAGCATTATGACCGCACATATTTGATTTGTACTTCAGATTTGTTTTTTCTCCCAGCTGTGTACTCATAATATTTTGATTCTCCATTGAAAGTATGTTCATTCCGTCCTTTATTTACATAAGATTGAGGAGGCGTCTATTGTGCTTCATATGGTTTGTTTTCTTCACTATAACAAATTATAGTACTTTTATACTTTTTCTAGTTGTTGGTAATGTCTGTATCAGGTTTTCAACATTTGTGTTCCATTCCTAAGTAATACACATTTGACTAAGTTGAATTAGTGAACATATAAGTACTGTAAAAGTATGCACTAGTGCTCCAATCCTCATTCTGTGCTTTGGTTTTGGTTGGCAGCTGGTCCCAGCTCCTGGAGACCCTCCCTCTTCCAAATGTAAGGATAAGTAATTTGTCTGTGTACCTATTTTGGATTTTTAATGAATAAAGAAGTGCTTAGATGCAGCAGTTTTCTGCTTTACAGAACTGTTAGGGGCATATAATTCTGTTTTAGTAATAAATTTGTTGCTTTCTTTGGTTGGCTTGTAAATACATAATGCATTACAATGAAATATATATGCTGCAGATCAAATGGATTTGCCCAACTGCTCCTACTCAACCAATAACTTTATTTGGTGGCTTTCCTTCAACTGCTTGTAAGTTCTGTTGGATTGGGAAAGCTGTTTTGTTCTCATCTAAATCAACTTTGGCCCGTAATACATGAGCTTTATTTGTTTGCACATTCAACATAAATGACCTGGATGATCTACAGAGGAAACATTATGTGGATGTGGAACTCATGCTTGAATCAAAATCTTGCAGTTTGCAGCATCTATAGATCAGTTATTTTCTTCTGTTATTTATGTTAGGGATTGATGTAAGTGAACTTTCGGAAAATGCTATTGATGATTTGGAGGGTTTGGATGCTTCAGCAGCATATGTTGCAAGTTTGTTGTCTACAGAGCCCCCTGAGAGTAAGTTTTCCTTTCATTGCTTTATGTATTTGATGATTATGTACCTGTCATGATACTCTTGCGGGTATAAATGTTTGAATCATCAATATTAAACTTAGTTTGATTGTTCAGAGGTTGGTAGGAAATGCAAGATATTATTGAATCTTACAATGGCCACAGTCTTCTGAGGCAGAATCATATGGTTCTGATTTTGAGTACTGTTTGTATTTACCTTGAATTGTGCAGCTAGGTAATGTGTTTCGACCTTCAGGGGACTTACTTTGTAGAAGGAAATTTGTGTTACATAATACAAGCAAAACTTACCAAAAACTTCTACTGAGCTCTTTCAAACATCATCAAAACCTGTCAAATGTGTACTAGGACAATATAGTCCTGCTTTTCGAACAGAGTTTCAGATAAGTCCTAATTTTATTATAGTTCGATTTTTCCCTTTGATTTTAATTATGAAAGTGGTGTTAACATGGTTTAGTTTAATCTAACAGGTACTGCAAAAAAACCAAAAAATCTTGGTTTGGTAGACAATAAGGTGATCTAATATGTGAAAATACGACTTAGCGGCATTTGGAATGAAAAATCAGCCCTATTGATATTTTAATGTATACTAGGGATAACCCGTGGCTGAAGATACGGTGTAATGTGAATGATTTTGAGAGGATGTTGACGGCGGTTAAATGAGTCTATTTGAGACCGTCGGATAGGTTTATTGAAGTCTGTCTTATTTTATATTATAGATTATAGATATTTTGTCCACTTGTAATACTGCTAAAACTACAATTGCCACCCCTTCTAATGTTTTACCTCAAAATAATCCAATTGGGGTTTTCCTTGAATTGTATGATGAACTAAGATCATATATGGAAATCCTATGGAATGTGAACCAATTTCTTGTGCTGTCCATTCTTTGGAGTTAGTCTATGCAAGTGAATAAGTTTCACATTCAGATGCTTTTGAAATATGGTGGAATTTATTAAAATGCTGTGGTTCTCTAAATAAACCTTCCCCACTTGCTCCCCTCTTTTCGGCCTTCAGAGTTAGTTCGAGAATTGAGAATAACTACTTCACCTTTAGTTTCACAATATTGATTTTGTTCACACTGTCGTTTTATTTGCTACAGTCAAACTCGGTGTTGGTGGCTTCAGTATGGGTGCAGCAACCGCCTTGTACTCTGCTACTTGCTATGCTCAAGGAAAATACAACAATGGCAACCCATACCCTGCCAATTTGAGTGCAGTTGTCGGACTAAGTGGCTGGCTTCCATGTTCAAAGTATTGTTTGACTTCTTGCAATCTGTATTTTGCCTTTCGCAGTGGACTCTTTGTATGTCTCGCACTTTAGTACGGTGCATAAACCATAAGTTCACCACTGCTGTTGTTGTGCAGGGACCTAAGTAGCAAAATAGAAGGGGTAGATGAGGCTGCAAGGCGCGCTGCATCCTTGCCCATTTCACTTTGTCATGGCAGAGGTATTTGTAAATTTTCTCATACATTATACCTTTTATTTGTTCTAACTGATATGTTCTTCCTAACTCCTAAGAGAATATGGAATCTTTCTTTGGCCGTGGAATCTGTCAAAACATTCTAAAACTGAGGAACCACCACTGCATGCATTAGGAAATGAATTGAATTGAATTGCTAGTAGACAGCTTCAGCACTGCTTTGCTATCTTGCTCGGGCTTGCTTATTTTTCAAATGAGCCGAGTTGCATGTAAAGTAGTGCATAGGTTAAATCTTAAGGGCAGGACTCGAGTAAAATAAGCTTCAATGAGATTTTACATTGGGAAAACATAATAAACTTGATGATTTGGTAAATAGAGTTCTTGGGTTTTGGAAATCCTACTCTAGTAGATACCTCAATCGTTTCCTCGGTCGGCCCATTATTAATTCATTGTCCTTGGCATCCCTGCTAGTTGCTGATTTCCAATGTTATTGCAGGAGACGACATAGTTCCCTTTACATTTGGTCAGAAATCTTATCAGAAGGTGATTTCATCTGGCTTTCGAGATGTGACATTCAAAGCTTATGATGCGTATGTATCACTTCTTACTTGCCATTGAGAATATGTATATTTAGATCTGATCAAACTCAAGATTAAACGTTGAGTGCATTTGTTGACTATGCAGCCTCGGCCATTATACAATTCCCGAAGAGATAAATGAGGTCTGTGCTTGGCTGACTTCAAAACTGGGGCTTGAGGGGCAGTCTTAAATTGGCACAAAAAGCAAGTTCTCTACAATGAGAGAGAGAGTGAGAGTGAGAGTGAGAGATTAATGCTTAATTTATCTGTAGTAGCAAGAATTATAATGGGTTGCTAAACTAGTTCAGGATGGCAGATAAATGTTAAGGTGTCCTATTTATGTACTGTATTGATCTTGTGTTTTGATAGATTTTCTTGTTCTACTGGTTGGCACTGACGGTTACTGCATTTGTGGATGTAAAAAACAGTGCTTCGGTTCACTCTTGAATTCATTTCTTGTGGCAGTGAATATGAATCTGCTTTGTCATGCTAGCCTCGTTCAAACTATACTTGTTTTTCGGGATTAAAATCTCAGTTTTTGTACATAATTTTAGTCACTCTTGGTTGTCATGCAATGTTGTTCTTTTCTTATTTCTGTAACCAAGGATACCACTCCCCATGAGCTTTGATCTTCTCTGTCTGGCCTATTTAAGTGTCGGGGAACACCGGACATACCTTCGGATCTGGTTGTGGACTGAAGTGTCATGGAACTCTGGATATGCCTTAAGTTCTGGGTGTGGACTGTCCCCTCTAGGCTCTTTTGAAGTTCTTCTCCCTTCTGTGGTCGTACATACCCCATCGCGATACCTAGTATTTAGAGACTTAAACATGCAACATAGGTTCCAATGTCGGAATCATTTCCATGAATTTTTTTTTTTGAAAGATCCACACAAAACAGTGGTACAATCATCAAATCACGAACCGGCTACTACAAATACTGGAATTCTTGTACTCCAACAGATGAAAATAATGAACATGGTAAAACAAGGAGAAGCAAGAAACAAGTTCCAGAAAATTAAACAAACATAACAGGCATGGAAGCAATGAAGACTTGGTGAGTGGCAATTTTGCTCTCAGAAAAAATGGTAAAAGGACAAGCAGCTCAGTTCACCTTTGGACCTCTTTTATAAAAGCCACTTCCCCACTTCCAGCCGGTTGTGACAACAGGTGCTTATCTTGATCTGCATCGTCACTTTCTGATGGCTCATGAGGTGTTGCAGGTGACAAAGAACCACTCCCATCTTCTGAATGTAGTGAATAGATATGACAAATTTCACAGACCAGATGGTAAGTCTAACAATCCAACAAGTGAAAAGACTAAACAGAACGGTTCTAGCACTTTGGTACACAACATTAAGAGGTAGGTAAGGTTAAGGTTAAAGGGAGGAAAAAAACATGAAATAGGCAACACTCATACCTTTGTAAGAATGGTGGTATTCAGGCAGTTCCTTGACAGTTGTGACTTGAAGGCTTTCAGGAAGCAGGCAACTGCAGAAAGCACCTGAAATTGGAATAAAAATGAGTGCATTGAAAAGCCGTCGTGTTGTGCAGATTATAGGAATGCATAAAAGATTGTATCAGAGCAAGCTTGATGGGACGCCAGGCAGGGTCCCCACACTAACTTGGCCTGAGCCTACTACGAGGAACCTCGTTCAGTTATGGAATGCATTAAGGGGGTGATTTTTTATTCGGCAATATTTCACCAATCGCTTGGGGAAAATATGTAAAACATCTGAAAGGTTGCCTAATGCAACCACCCACAACCCTTGGTTCACCATGTAAGATCTAGACCATCTGGGAACGTTCAAGTGATATAAGTCCATTCCTTCTTAAATCACTGTATTTAACAAGAGGGACCTGAAATGCTCCTATATCACAATTTTATTGCATTTGAAAAGTAGCAAAATGTTTGAAAGGTGCTATACCTGTGACACAAAGGGGCTCTTGAGTATTTACAGAATTCAAAATGATTTATTTTTGCTACAAACTAACCAATGCCATGTAACAAACAAAAATGGCATTTCATTCCCAGAGGATATGTACCTTATCAATAAAAATTTGGAATTGGTCTCTGAAGGACTATTTTTTACAGGAAAGAGCTATACGTGATAATGTATTTTCTACTCGCTACCCACAGCAACAGTGCAAGTAGCAATCAGATTACCGTCTATCCCAATTATGATTAGTGGTACTAACATGAAAGTGAATGAACACAGACAAGATGAATAATAAGTTGATTAGAGGAATTCCACACACCTAGCCGGGCTAGCCGATTCACCCATCCAGGGATCCTTTTGCCTGTTAATCTCCAGGAGATGTCATCCGTAAAATGGTTGCAATTCTTGGAAATGAGATGATATGTGTCCCCATGATACTCAGAAGCCACACTCTCAATAAATGTTCGGAATTCAGAGAGAGGAACGTTTATATGACCCAGTGGAATAGAACATCTGTAGATAAAACCTGGGCAGCTCTTAGGTTCCACTTCAAATACTCCACTAATGGGGAAGTCATGTGCTCCAAACCCATATTCCATACCATGAACTGTAATATTTGGCACCTTATGAGATACAAAAGTACTGAAAACTGACATTCTTGTCAACAATTTTAATCATTTCTTCAATTTCTTTGATTGTATGGTTTCTTCTAAATGTACCCATGAGGACATTTGTATTTGCACTAAATATATTGGATAGGCATATGACTTAATTGAAATGAACGGTTCCTCAAATCCTTCTAATTTTTTCGTTTTAAAACATGACTCTAGGACCCCATATTGTCTATCAAACTAATTCACTTACCCTTGTGCATCCCAAAAAAGTTTAGAAGGAGATGCAAAAATCAGAATTTCATCAATCTAGAGCTATATTCACAAGGTTTAGAGTATCTCCAACCTCAAATGTAGACTCAAATTTAAATTTGAGTCAAAATGGCTTAAAAAACTTCTCCAACCTTAGACCCAAACTTATACCAAATTAGGGCAAAACTTATTCTGGACCCAAATTGATGCAGACTCAAATACTATACCAAATTTCTAAGAGTATCTCCAACTTTGACTCAAATGTATACTCAAATTTAAATTTGAATCAAAATTGCTTAAAAAACTTCTCTAATCTTAGATTTAAAATTATACTAAATTAAGACAAAATTTATTCTAGACCTAAATTGAAACAGACTCAAATATTATACTAAATTTCTAACTGTAACTTTTTAATCTATTCAAAATTAAAAGACTTTTTTGACGACTTGTTCTCTGTCTCTTCTCGCCTCTCTCTACTATGCTACTTCCATCGCCTAACATCACCGAAACTTTCACAAATCATTTCAAGGCCTATAGGTAAATTTTTTTCCTTTTCATCTTCCATCTTCCATCTTCTTGATTTCTTATATTTTTTAAAACCCTAATCTCTCACCCATCTTTCATACTATATAAACCCTAATCTTACCCATCAATTTTTTTTGAGTTAAACACTATCAGTAATACAATTTTAGACCGCCGATTATTCCTGAAATTTTAAGCTTTCACTACCAACAAATTTAGAAAATTCGTCATTTTATTTCTTTAATTTTTTATTTTTGTTAAAAATGTATGTTTTTGTGTCTTCAAACCAGAATCATGTCAAAATAGTTATATATATATATATATATATATATATATATATATATATTTTTTTTTTTTTTCTTTATCTGGATTTATAAAAAAAGATAAGGAATTAGAACAATCTTAGGGTGCGTTTGGTAACGTTTTTATTTTTATGTTTTTTTTATAAAAAAAAAGGACTAAATTTTATTTTTTTGTGATAAAAATTAAAAATATAAAACATGTTTGATAGTCATTTATATTTAAGAAATTATAAAAATTAAAATTAAAAACCTGTTTGGTATTATACTAAAAATTCACCACCCAACCTCACTGACCACCCAAAACCACCACCTAACCCCACCATCGAAACCCACCCCCAACCCCACCACTGAAACCCACCCTCACCCCCAACCCCACCACCAAAACCCACAACCCACCCCCACCACTAAAACTACCACTACGACGACCGAAACTCACCCCCACCACCACCGAAACCCCATCATCACAACCACTGAAACTCACCCCCAACACCACAACCACCGAAACTCACCCCCAATCTGACCCTCACCATCGAAGCCCACAACCCACCCTCGCCACTACAACCACCAAAACCCACAAACCCCCCCCCCCCCCCCAAAGAAACCTACCCTTGAAACTCCCTAGCAAAAGCCACTACCTATCCCTGACACCCACAACCACCCAACCCCACCACCGCCACCAAAACTCAACCCTGAAACTCCCCAGCAGAACCATCAAAGAGAGACAGAGACCCAAAAAAATATTCGAGTGAGTCCAGAGAAAAGGGTTTTTATACTAAAGCAAAAAAAATTTACTTTTTGTTGCTGAGGAAAATTGAAGTCAGGATCTCATTAAATGAGACATTTGAACAGCGCGTGTTTTTTTTTTTTTGAATGTTTTCAAAAACATCATTTTGGATGTTTTCCATATTTTAGCCTTATTTTTAAAACGGAGATGTTAAAAAAATAAAAACAAAAACATTCACCAAACACATTTTTGTTTTTTTTAGCCATAAAAAGAAAACAAAAACGAAAAAAAACAAAAACAGACTATTACCAAACGCCACCTTAGAGTTTTGGAATGGTTTCTTTATTTCCATGTAGTGTTGTATACATATTCATTTTTTTTTTTTTTGAATTACTCATTTGTGGAGAAATATGAAAGTTTTATTTATTTTATAAAATATCATGATTTGAATAATACAAAAAAATGAATTTTAGGACAATAAGGGAGTTTTTTAAAAGATTTGAGTAGATATTTGAGTTTGTCAATTGGAGTACTCTATATCAAATCAAGCTTTTTACTCAAATTTAGACTCAAGTCATCGTTGGAGATGTTCTTAGCAGGAGCACTAAATTCTGAATGGATGGACATTGAACAAATTCAAAACTATATGTAATTTTAGGTAAAATAGATGAACCACATACAATAATGTACAAACATGTAAAAAATCCAACATCTGCAATGACCTTTGTTTTGAGCATATTAATTGGTCAACTAACCCTTTTCCTAATCTAAATACTCAAGACATTAAGGTCAATGAGTTGCACTTGTCACACAGATTGATGGTGATATGAAGAAGGGTAAGTATTTTTAATGCAGGCAATCATGACTGGAACTTGATTACTAACACTGACGCAGTGTTTCATATAAACGCATGGTAACAGAATGATGATACCAAGACCATGCTTTTTCCAGAGAATGGAGACAAGTTCTACAGAGGTAATAGCTTCAACCTCAGAATATTAAAATACAATTTATATAGATATAATTGCTTCAACCTAAGAATACTATATAGTAAGGCCTTTTAAGATTTTTTTCTGGAGATCAGCCAATATTAAAATGAACTTGCTATTGTTTCTAAACATCCATATTGATTCTTTTGCATATGCTTTCCTACATGTCTGAACACAAATGCAGAAATAATTGAGATATAATGAAGTTGCAACAAACCAAATCAAAGTAGTATATCCATAATGTGATAATGTAAAAAGGATCAGGTTAAGATTTTTTTTTTTTAAAATACAAGCACAGTTGGAAGCGATTATTTTGTGCCAAAATTAAATTCCTTGAGAATATATCCAAGTTTGATTTCCATAAGTTAAAAAAAAAAAAAATACATGCAACTCAAACACCACCATCCAACACCCCCCCCCCCCCCCCCCGCCCAACGATGGGAGCAGAGTTTTGATGAACTAATCATAGAATCTGACCAAAATTAAGCAAAAAACATAGAACTAAAATAGGAGAAACCAAGTCTTCTACCTTAATCTTTTTATTTTAACCTTTTGAAAGGTTTAATTCAAAGGCTAAGCTTGAAACTTGAGGGATATCAGAGGACATGGAGGACAAATATCGGAGGAGAGTAGAAAAAAGAGCAATAAATGGGAAATTTAAATAACAAGAAGGATGACGACATCGCAATTTGTCAAAACATACTATATGCATGGTAACATTTAACTGAGCAATGAATCAGCATAAGCTCCCAATGATGATCATTCTTATATGGATTACCAAATTTAAAACATTTACCAAGTGACTGCACTCCATCATCATGATGACAGGATTTAGAATTACATACTGAAATATTAGGCAAGTACGCATGGAGAGTTCTTAAATTATCAACTTTATAGTACATCCAAAACTCGAAAGTTCTTCCTCTTAGGTAACTAAGCAATCTCCCTTTCTAATGCGGGGTTATTGAATGTATTGAACTAAAGAAATCTCTACATCATAATCGTAAAAAAAATGAAAAGAAAAGGAAAAGAAAGTAAACCAACTCACATTAACATTGAAAAAGGCTAAGTTCAAGATCAAGAAATTTTTAATGGAGACACCAGATCAAGAAACCCTAATCCAATCATTTGTGGATATATCATTCGTCACCTTTAATCCCAAAAGACCCCAAATACAGCTCCCACAAAAATTCCAAGAGTAAAGCAAAACCCGAAAGTAATCCCGTAGGATAAACTAGGTAACCAAAAATCAAGAACATTGGTTCATAAGACCAGGAAGAACATTGGTTCTAAGGGGGAAACCCTCTGTTATTAAAACTGAAAAAGAATACAAATTTCTGCTCTGTCCATCTACCCGCAGAGACCCAAATAAATACAGAAAAATAGCTTAATCAACTCCTAATCAGTATTCCCAAGTGGCGTATCCGGAAAGCTGTTGGTCCAATGAATTAGTACCTGTGTGACTGCCCTATTATTCCTCTTCACAAGCCGTCGGTCCAAGACTGCCAATGGTTCAAGTTTCATCCGGCCAGCATCATCTACTGGGGTAGCTCCGTTTGGACAGTCACTTGTTCTCCAATTTTTTTCTTAAGGCATGAAACATGAAACACAAGATGGATGGAGGACGCCACTGGGAGTTGCAACCGATAGGCGACTTGACTCACCCGTTCTAATACTGGAAAAGGGGCCAAAGAACTTGGGGGCCAGCTTCTTGTTTTCTCTCCATGCTAAGGATGTTTGCCGAAAGGGTTGAAGACGGAGATAGATGAGGTCCCCAACCTTGAATGTTCTCTCAGTTCGTTTTGCATATACAACCTGTTTCATTCTATGTTGAGACTTTTGCAAATTTTCTTTGAGTAACCGGATGATTCTATCCCTCTCTTGCAGGCTATTGTCAACTGTTACTACATTTGATTCCCCCGGCACATGGGGAGAATAAGTAAGGGGTGTGGTACAATAAATAACTTCAAAAGGAGTGACCTTGGTGGAAGTGTGAAAATTAGTATTGAACCACAACTCGGCCAAAGGTAACCATTTAGCCCATTCCTTGGGACGGTCCCCCGTCATGCAACGAAGATACTGCTCCAAACAACGGTTCACCACCTCGGTCTGCCCGTCAGTTTGTGGGTGATAGGCAATACTCGTGTAACTGGGTCCCATATATCTTGAACAATCCTTGCCAAAAGTTACTAGTAAATACAGGATCCCGATCACTAACAATGGTACTTGGGAGTCCATGCAGCTTGAATATATTGTCCATGAAGGTTTGAGCAACATCTAAGGCACTATATGGATGATGAAGTGCCATGAAGTGGGAGTACTTACTTAGCCGATCTACCACTACAAAAATCACATCCTTCCCATGTGAACGAGGAAGGTCCTCGATAAAATCTATAGATATGTCGCTCCAAGGTCGATCCGGGATGCGGATTGGCTGTAGGAGCCCGGGAGTTGCTATGTTTTCGGACTTATTGCTTTGGCACACATCGCACTCTGCCACATGTTTACGCACATCACCACAAAGGCCCTTCCAATAATAGTGTCTTTTTATCCTATGTACCATCTTTTGAACACCTGAATGCCCCCTGCACGGCCCATCATTATTCTCTTGAATAATGGCTAATGTTAAGGCTAAATTTGTCCCTAGCCATAGTCGTCCTTTATATAGTAACCTGTTACGTCGCCATTGGAAGTTAGGCTGCAACGTTGGGTTGACTTGTAAGTCTTGGATAATAGCTTGAACCTTTGGGTCAGCCTTCCACTCATCTTGCAATTGAACAAGCCAATTGGCCACCAGTGCAGACATTGCCATTAAATGGACAGAATCTTCCTGCTGTCTTGAGAGTGCATCTGCCACCTTATTTTCACTTCCACTCTTATAGGATATTTCAAAGTCATACCCCAGCAATTTAGTTAACCATTTGTGTTGCATTGGTGTGGTTATGCACTGCTCCAATAAATACTTCAGGCTGAAATGATCCGTCTATATTTTAAAGTGTTGACCAATGAGATAAGGTCTCCATTTTCTAACTGCAAAGACAATAGCCAGCATCTCCTTTTCGTATGTAGAGTCCCAAGGTTTTGTCTGACAAAGCCTTGCTTGCAAATGCTATGGGCCCCCCTTCTTGCATTAGCACCACTCTCAACGCTATTCCTGATGCATCACATTCCACAACAAAAGTCTTTGAAAAGTCTGACATTGCTATTACTAGAGTTGTTGACATGGCCACCTTAAGCTTGCTAAATGCATCACCTGCTTCAATAGACCATAAAAAGTTATCCTTTTGCAGCAAGTCAGTAAGTGGTTTGCTAATATTCCCATAGTCCTCTTCACAAAGCGTAGATAATACCCTATGAGGCCTAAAAACCCACGGAGAGTCTTAAGGGTGTGAGGTTGAGGCCACGCCACCAAGCTAGCAATTTTTTCAGGGTCAGCTGCGACTCCGTTGTTTGAAATAATGTGGCCCAAGTATTCCAGCTGCCTTTGCCCGAATGAGCACTTGGACCTTTTCACCGGGAGTTGATTTTGGAGCAGTACACCCAAGGTCACCTCCAAGTGATGGAGATGGTCCTCCCACGTACGACTATACACCAAAATATCATCGAAAAAGGCGAGGATAAATTTACGTAAATAGGGCCGAAATACCTCGTTCATCAAACTTTGAAATGTTAACTGAGCATTGGTTATCCCAAAGGGCATAATTAGAAATTCATAATGCCCTTCATGAGTTCTAAACGCCGTCTTCTGTATGTCGTCGGGGTGAACTCGAATTTGGTGATAACCTGTCCGTAAATCCAATTTTGAGAAGAATAGTGCTCCATGAAGTTCATCAATAATTGGTATCGAAAATTTGTCCTTGATAGTTTCCCGGCTCAATGCCCGATAGTCCACACACAGCCTCCATGTGGCGTCTTTCTTTTTGACTAGCAAAATTGGAGATGAAAACGGGCTTACGCTCAACTGTATGGTGTCAGCTTTAAGCATTTCTCTTAAAATCTTTTCAATCTCATTCTTTTGAATATAAGGGTAGCGGTAAGGTCTCACACTAATGGCTGGACAACCTGATTTTAGTGGGATTTTGTGATCTTGTTGCCTGCGAGGAGGTAAGCCACGAGGCTGTGCAAACACCAGATCAAACCAAGCCAATAATCCTGATAATCCAGGATTTTTTGCATTTTGCTTCATTTTGTACTTGCATAGAATTTGGTTGTGATAAGGCTTGAATTGAGAATATCTGGGCCATAACTCCTTGCGTAGACTGTTGTAACAAACAACTCATCTTGTCTGCACCAATTAACTTTACAGGTCCTGTGGTAGCACCTCTCAACACATGCCTTTTTCCCTTAAAGTTAAACTCCATCTTCAGGTTTTGGAAGTCCCAAAGGATAGGTTCGATTGGCGAGCCATTGAACACCAAGGACCATGTCACACCCACCTAAGGGTAAGAGCCGCATGTCTGCCTTGAACTGGGTTCCTTGCATAACCCAAAGTAATCCACGACACATAGCAGAACTAGCAACTCTAGTGTCGTCTGCTACCGCCACAAATAAGGGGCTAGTTTGATAGGTGGTGCACCCGGTTCGTTTGCCTAGGTTAAGAAAGTTGTAGGTGCTTCCCGAATCAATCAAAATTGTAATTGGCCTTCGTTTCACAAATCCTCTTACCAGCATGGTCTGGTATGATGCAGAGCCGGCGAGAGCATGGACCGAGATGACTGGTTCGTCAGTTGGAATATCAATGGTGCCTTCAAGGGGTTCGACCGTGGCATCTTCAAATTGTTCTCCTTCTTCTTGGGGCTCGTCTACTTCTAAAAGGAATAGTTGTTGTTTCTACACCTGTGGCCAATGACGTATTTCTCGTCACAATAGTAACAAAGGCCTTTTGCACGTCGTTCCTCCATTTGTGGTGATGAGATTCTCCTTATAGGTGGCAGTGACAACTTGGGTTCAGATTTAGAAAACTCCTTTTGGAGGGTGTTGGTTGACGTCAAAGGAGCTCGAGCCAGTCATATAACAGCATCCATGGTCTCCTCTTGTAACCGGGCCAACCCTATTGCATGAGAAAGGGTAGTTGGCTCAATCAGCATAACTCCATTTCGAATTTCCTCACGCAGGCCATTGGTAAAGCACTGCACAAAGAAATCCTCTGTTAAGCCGTGTGTCCTTGCCATTAAAGCTTCGAATTGCTCCTAATAAAGTCTCACTGTACCAGTTTGCTTTAATTTCGTCAATTGGCCAATTACATTATCATAGTGGCCAGGACCGAAAGGCAAGCACAAGTCCTTAGTAAAGATCTTCCATGTAACATGACGTTTGGCAACCTCTTAGCTCTGAAACCAATCAACTGCTATGCCTTCAAGGTGAATGGATGCGACATAGACCTTGTCCTCCTCGTTGACGTGGTTGTACTTAAAGAATATCCCACAGCGGTATACCCAACCAATCGGGTTTTCACCATTGAAATGGGGAAAATCCAGATGGGCATACCTAATTTGAATTGCTTCACGGACAGAACTCTGTTGCCCTCCTGACAGAGACACCGTAACATGAGATGTCTCCTCTTGCCCTTGCTCATTGATCGGCAAAAGGTGGGTAGCTAACTACTCATACCTGATGTTGATCGCAGTAACCAATTGTTTCAAATCCTTCATGTCCGCAGCATGGTGGTCATTAAAGCTCTTTATATCGGCTGCTAGTCTGTCTGAGTTTTCTTTCAACGAACGAATACTCTCCTCCATACACTTAACCTCTTGCGCCCTAGTCCCCTCCACCATTATCGTCAGTACAAGGTAGGAACAGTGCTCTGATACCAATTGATAAGACCAGGAAGAAAGAAGAAAGAAGAAAGATGCAGAAGAATAAGCAAAATTCCCACTTCTAGGGGGAAACCCTCTGTTATTAAAACTGAAAAAGAATACAAATTTCTGCTTTGTCCATCTACCCGCAGAGACTCCAAATACATACAGAAAAATAGCTTCATCAACTCCTAGTCAGATCTTAGAATCCAGCCAATCAACCATTATTAATTGCAGCACAAATCCCGCTAATTGAGGCATGATTAGCTGCATGACATTTCCTTCTAAAACGTCCCTTATCATTGGTATAAAGCTGAATGTAATTAAACAAGAAGTGGTGGTTCGAATCCAGCCCGTGAGTTGGCCTAACTAAAATAGTCTCCCTTTCTAATGCTGGGTAATTGTATGCATTAATATACGGAAATCTTTACCACATCATAAAATAAAAACAGAAAAGAAAGGGAAAACAAAAGCAACCAACCTACATTAACATTGAAGAAGTCTAAGTTCAAGATCAAGAAAAAATATGGAAACTAGGAGGTGATACCCACGAAACCATCAAACCAAGAAACCCTATTCTAATCGTTAGATGAATGCATCATACATAAGTTTTAAACCCAAAAGATGGCAAATACGATTCCTAATAAAATTTCCAAGGCTTAAGCAAAACCCAATTCCTATCTATTACATAAACCCAAGAAAAGGTAAATCTTCACATACGCACAAAAATAAACATCTATGGACACAACCAAAAACAAAAAATTAGATTTTCTCTCACCTTCAATGCCAGAATGAAAAATTCCAAAACCAAACCAAACAGCGTAATGGTTCAGAGGTGTGAGGTCGTACACATTCAACATAACTTGGGTCACAGAGCTTTCGTTGCTATTGTTGTCCTCTTCATCACCACCACCTTCAGAGGTTGATTGTAAGGTATTCTCATCACCCATTTGATATTCTCCAGCGAAAGAGGGGAAAAAAAATCAATAAGTACCCTCAAATCCACAAGAAAATTTTACTTTTTCGGTCCTTTTCTCGAGAAACAAACATTGGGGCTTTGAGATCAGTATCTGTTTCTCTCTGGCAAGAAGAAAGAGATTGTAACTTTGTGAGAAGAAATGGAAAAGGTAAAAGGTGAAATGGGAATATAAGGTGGTCGCTTGCAAATAAATTATTCTTGCATGTAACTGATTAATAATAAATAATAAATAATAAATATATTTGTATTTATATTTAAAATTAAATCACAAACATAAAAAAGAGATAAATAAATTTAAGTATTGATTTATAATGGGAGTGAGAGATGGTGAGCGACAATAGCGATGGTGATGGTTGATGGATGGCAATGACCGTGGTGACAATAGTGGGGAAGAGGGGCGGTGGTAGGGGTGGTGGTGTTGGCAACTGTGGTGGTGGTGACAGCGACGGCGGCGATGGTGGTGATAGCGGTGGTGACGACAATGGTGGTGGCGGTGGCAATGGTTGCGAGGTGGGGTTAATGATAGTAGAGGTAGTGGTAGGGCGGTTTCAAATACTATATTTTTTTTAAAGTATTTATGAGAAATAATTTTTAAAAGTCACTTCAAACACATTCTTAAAGCCTATTTTTTCTATTAAATTTAGGATGTTAATATTAACCGTTAGATTAACCTTAAAGTAAAATTTAAAACGATCTCAATCGCAAATAGTAAAAATTATTTTGTTTATTTTTTGAAATTTGAATTGTAAGTTACTTTATTATATAGATTTATTGCATTTTGTAAGATCAATTTCACTGGCCTCCCACTAGGAATAGACTAATTACAAGGATACCCTTATAATTTTTAAAATATCAGTATCATTCCCTATTGGCTTTCTATTAAGGGTATTTGGGTAAAAATATAATTTTCGTCCACTCCACTAAAGGCAAAATGGGACAGAAATTGACAGTGATATTTTAAAAATTATCAGAGGTGTCTCTATAATTAGGCTATTTTTTAGGGGTGTTAATAAAATTTACCCTCTTTTAAGATATTATATTTAGAACCTCCTAGTTGGCAATCATTATTGTTGGCAATCATGAAAGTGGAATCGGCTGTCACTTTAAATATTTAGCTACCATTCAATGAAATACCCCCTAAACGAGTTCTCACTCCTTTTAACTATAGTACCAAAATAAAAAATTATTGAATGTTTTTTTTTTTTTAACGACCGAGGCCAGAACACATAGAGCATAAATGTGAGCGGGAGCAAGAGTAAAAGCGAGAGCGAGAATGTAAAAAGGGCAATATTTAAAAATAATTGAGAACGAGAGCGTTATATTTTTGTAAAAAATAAAATATTATATACAAATATACTATAAATGAGTAAAAAAAAATGTTACTTCAAAAAAAAAGAAATAGTTAAGTAAGAGATAAGGTTAGCAAGAAGGGAGAAAAGAGCTAGCAGGAGGTTGGAAGTTAGCATTGATTCCACATCCGGTAGCGCAGCAATAAAGGCAATGAAAAAACACCTATTAATACTATTCCATCCCAAGCTTATAAATAGCCGAGGCTTCTCATTTCTTTGGCACATAAATGGGTCTTTTTTTGGGGGTCAACGTAGTGAATTATATATATTTTTCCTTAGACCAAGGTTCGGTAAAATAGGTTGAATATGTTTTAAATTTGTAGATTTAATTTTTTTTTTGGGTCTAATCAAATTTTTTATAGTTTGATCTTAAAGATTTATTAATATTTAAATTTAAGATATCTGAATTTATAATTCGTTTTTATTGTCACTTAAGGCTACTCATCGAATGAGTTCTCACTTCTTAAACTATATTGCCAAAAAATTATTTTTTGAAAACATATTAAATTTTTTATATTAATAAGAATGTGGCATGTGTAATATATTTTTTTTTTGTTTTATTGTGCTATTTTACGTCATTATTTTAATGATCAATAGTTACATGTGAATCAATTAAATATTTATAATCATAAATTACTTTGAGTAAGGTATCAAAAATAAAATAAAATAAAATTGGTACACAGTCGTGTATGTTAATAATAATTGAAAATTTTCTTATACACAAATGAGCATTCCTCCACCACCACCAGCATGCAGAGGATTTGACAAAGTTTGATAATCAAAATTTCATAAAAATGTAATTTTTATAGTTGTTTTTTTTTCAAAAATGTTATGCAAACACGCTTTTACCCCGAATATCGTGAATTTAACTATGTTGTCATAGAAATTGCGATAGTTTGAAATGTAGGATAGGAGTTAATTCCATGATGATTAGTTTCCGATATGATTAGGGGACACCTAACACTACTTGGGCATAGAGGTGTTTACCCTAATCTACGGACATGAAATATAGTCTTTCGTTTTCTTACTCGATATTTTGTAGATAAATTTTTTCTTGGCCTACCCTACCCGATCAGGTGTGATATTCTTATCTTATTAATTTTTGAAACATTTTAATAATTCAATTAAATAACATGCACCATATGAAACACAATAAAATTATAACTGCTCCAATAGATCACCAGTTCACCACAAATCATGTAACTTACACAAAAAATAAGTCCATGTTTTAGCAAGTCAAACATCCACAACAATAACAATGTTATAATATAAATTATACCACACAAATATTCTTATAATTACTAAAAAAATATAAAAAATTTAAATATATTTTTTACGGATAGGGTAGGGTAAGGTAGGAATGCGGAAATTAATGGGTATTCCGCATTCCTACCTGATTTAATCAAAAGATCAAAAATTCTTCTGCATTCTTACCCGATTTTTGCGACTAGTCATTTAATAGGATAGGGTAGGATTGGGTAGGATAAAAAATTACGATTAATCAAAAATTTGAATACCCTTACTTGGGCATACCAACGAGTTGAATTGATAATGGAATGAATTCGTATCATCTTAATTCATTCAATCTATACGTTCAATTTAAAATTATGTATAATCAAATTTTGAGTTTTTGTTTAGTTAAGTGTCGTATACATCCAAATTTATATTAACCACTCCTTAAATTTAAATGAACCATTAAAATTAATTCTAGACCAAATAAATATGTCGACTTGGTAAATGACAAAAAATCATCTTGAACACGTGTTATTTAAATTATGATTGCGTGTACGTATCTCTAGGTGGTGAAGCCAAAATTTTGTTTTAGGGGTGGGGTCCAAATAGGACTGAATACATTCACGTGTTAATACTAAAAAAAAAATTAAGTTCAAGCCTAGAAAAAAAAAAAAAAACTAAGATTCAAGGCTAAATTAACCCATAAAACAATATTCTTGAAAATTATCTACCATTGATTAGTTTTAAGTTAAGCTTTTTACTAATTTTCTTTCAATTTGCACGATCACCAAGTCCATACAAAAATCATTATTTATTTTATAGGGAGATTATTCATCGTCTTGTTGAGAAATTAATTATTTAAAATTGCAGAAAAAAATTTTGGACTATGTTCTACTTTTTAGCTGCATTATTATTTTTGAAAAATGGTAGACAATGTATTAGATGGAAGAGATGTATTATTTTTGGTCTACACAGACGTAGGTCAATATTTATATTTGTTTGATTAAATAAAAAAATAAAACAATATTTTTTGCAGGGCAATAGACCACTAATTTTTTGAAAATAAAAAGGATTAGAATTACTCCACAAGTTTTTAAAAAATTAGGGGGTACAAATGCAATAAATTAAACAACAGTATAACATTTTAAGAGTACATATGTAAAGGTGATAACAAAATCACCCTTGCCTAATGTGGAGTATCTAATGTGGAATGCATGAAGTATCCTCTGAATCCAATGCATGAAGTATTCTACCAAATGGTCAAGCTGGCTATCCACCAGAATTTTTTTAAAAAAAAAAACAGAAAACCTTCCCAACTGCATCTCAGCTGAATCTAAAATCTTGTCAATCCTTGGTCTGATCTTTACCACAAGGTAACCAATAATGAGCCAAACAAAGTGTTCCAGTACACGATGCCTCAATCTAGGGAATGTCATATGTAAACAAAAACAAATTTACCCAAGAGACTTTTTTCGTAACTCGAAACTTTGATGCTGAGGTTATAACGAAGCAACATTATAACATTACAATTTACAACATTATAACTGCAGCAAAGTCGCCCTCAATACTGTGCAAAAGGGATTAACAAAATTGCATGGGTTTGCAGCATTCATTTACTAAATTACCATTCACTGCAGATAACTTTCCGCCACCAACAAAAGCTGGTGTATATTCAAGTAATCTTATGTGCATGCCATATTAACTGCTAAACTGGAAGAAGAAATTTCTCTCACTTACAACGCTTGAATCATGAGTAGATTGATTAGCTGGTGTAGCCAACCACCAAAGCAGCAGCAGCCATCAAATCGTCAAACATGGTCCTTCCCAACTACCCAGTTTAAGTAGAAATCTCGTATAACTGCTCCAAAGTCATACAAGTAATTGAAACAAACAAATCTCTTTTCCACTAACAGCAGAATTCAAGTGAAAGCAAGATTAACAAATTTCTTTTACACATAATCGATTCGTGGATAATAATTTTCGCATCACCAGAAGAAAATGTGTGAAAAAGATTCACCAGAAAAATGTATATAGAACAATTGTACTTGTGAAAAATTTAAAACTACAACTTGGCTCTTTCTCTTGTTCTCAATTCTGCAACCCCAAGCATCAATCGTGGCAGAATGGGTAGGGTAGAACAAATTCAAGCATATAAGCAAATGAACTTGCATTTCTTCCTTCCGCTCCCACCTGAAAGGAAAAGTAGTTTAGTTACATCGGAACCGTACAAAAATTACAACCACACGTAAAGCAATGAACCAACTAGCATAAACAGAACTAAGTACACTTACAATAGAAACATACAAAGACGAACCATCGAGCAAACTGAAAAAGTTTTGTGGTCATCACTCGTCATCTGGTGTCAATTGCCGCAGGACTCGGCGTCGGCGTCTCCGAGGGCCTGACCCACCATCCGAAGACTCGTTGTCCCCATTTCTGGTAGGAGATTCAGTTTCCCCATCATAGTTCTCCCCCCAAAGTCTTCTTGTTGATCTCCGTCTGACAGTCACTTGCGCTCTGGTTCTTGTGGAACCAGACCAGCTACTACTCCTTGAATTACCCCCAGGTCGCAAAACTCGGATTAGGAAAAAAACGGTAAGCCAACCCCCTTCTTCAAAAGATAAAACGCTCTCCTCACTCCGATCCTCCCCGACAGAAGATTGCAGTGTGCTAAGCAAATCTCCAAGATCCCTCTGCCGCTCCAACCTCCTCCAGTTACGCTCCCTCTCTGGGTCTGCTTCGGAAGGCCGCACAAGTGGGTGCTCCAACCTTGCATGCTTCCTCAAATCTGCATATGTGCCGCTATAATCACAAGTCTCACAGGCGCAGCTTCTTGATTTTGCATTCATGAACAGACGAGCAGGCTCCACTACAATCCACCCATTAACCTGTCCACGACAGAGAGGGCACAATAGCTGTGGCTTCACTTGGTTCTCACAAGACCTGGCAGGCACAGATGTGGACCCTTCCTCACTCCTTTCACCTTGCAAATCAGCAACTGTAGCTTCTGAAATTGTCGTGAAGGACGACGGACCTATAGTTGAAATTGGAGTTTCTTCTTGTTGAGGTGTCATTGTTGGCAAGTTTTCTGCAAATGACTTCCGAAACTGGTCAAAACAGTTTGAGTGGCGATAACTTGTGTCACACATATAAGGACGGCAGCCTTTCTCCTGGGATGAGCATAACAGGAGAACTGCATTGTGAGGATGTTCCATACAGACAGGGCATTGAGCTTCCTCCCATTCTTTGACGTGCTCCTCACTTTCTGAAGGGCTCCGGGTCAACGACCGTTTTGACCGACTAGAGCTACAAGGGAAAGGAGACACCCTTGACCTATCAAAAGAGACTGAACGATCTCGTCTCTCCTTAGGCATGTTGAGAGATCTATATGTCAGCAAGAAAACCAAGATTTCTGGTGCACTCCACAAGGCAGCAGCAGAATTACAAGTACTATCAAAGATAATTCGCAAAAGCAGTACAAGAAATTAGTACCTTGTACAATGATACATTGAATACTCATAAGTCATAAAATGAAGTATGTGCTCTCAGTGTACCCAAATGCAGCAAGTGAAATTTACACACCCAATAAAACTGATAGCTCATATTCTCTACAAAGACCGACAAAAAAGACATATAATGACACATCCAGCCAATTTAGAAGAGAATCTGCAAATGTATGTTCTTTTAGTACAAAACTTATCTAACTAAAAATTCAACATCAGTCAACTCTCATTCCCAGTTTTCTACAAGAGAAAACAGCTACCCCTGGTCGATACAAGGCAAAGCAACACATAGGAGCAAATGAAACAACAAATAGCTACTCCAGCTAGGAGCATTAAAAAAGAACAATATCCAAAGAGAAAATAGAACAAAAAATGAAAAAGAAACAGAGTGAAATGGTTAAATCCCTAACCCAAAAGGCGATGCAGAACAAACTCTACTTTTTGTTGAGAGCAAGTGTAAATTACACCAGCGTACCCAAAAAAGCCAAAAATATTAAGAATTACACACTTGATCTCATTTACACAAATGTAACACCCATGCCCCATCCCCCAGTAAATTAGCAAGTGAAATTTCATCCAACAAAGATATTCAACACGAACAATAATAAATTGGCACAAGTCACAACTCATCAAAATGAGGCCATGAACATATGGACAAACGCTTCTCGCCAAGCTATCCATATATTATTCAATCCACCGACTTCTCTTGCAAGTAGTATAGCAAATTAAGCCATTTTTATTTTAACTCAACACCACCAGTACAGTATATAGTTTACACAAAACTCAAAATTAAAAAAATTAAAAAAAGTAAAACATCAAAGCCAAATATTGATCAACAGAGTTCAAATTAGAATTATGTTACATAAAAGAGGAATAGCATAGCAAACAAAGAGCATCAACTTCAAACCCAACCCAAACCCCTTGTTTGGACATTTTTTAGCTAAAAAACATCTCACAACTACAACTTCCATACAAAAAACAGATTTTCATCAGCTAAAAAAAAAAGTTGCATACAGGAAAGATCATTATCAGCTCAAACACCCAAATATCAAGCAAAAAAATTCCCCCTCTCCCTCCCCCTCCCAAAACAGTACAGACCCTGAAATTCACACGGCGTTACCCACTTACCAATCAGTCGAATTACACCACCCACTTACGCAAAAATCAAATTACACTAGAAAGCCCAACAAAACATCACGATCACAATCTCAAGCAAGCCTCAACGCAGAGCAAAGGACAGATCCGAGTAAACTCGGACCCTAAGAGCTACAATTAGGGTTTCAACTATAAATTACCAGAACTTCAAGGGGTTGTATGAATTAAGCTTTGACTTTGTTGTAAATATTACTTCCGATTGCGATTTGAGTTGGTCAAGAATCGAAGAACCCCCCCGAGACAGAGAGAGAAATAGAGACTTTCGAGGCTGCTCTATCTCTCGCGAGAGAGAGGAGGGGGGGGGGAGAGAGAGAGTTTTGCCAGGGAGAAGACAGGGGCGGCTGAATATATAGGGAGCAGTATTTAGCTGACGTGGAAGAATTGTATTCGCCCGTGTGATTCATTCTCCATGGGACATTCAAATTATTTTGGACAAATATCATAAATACCCGTTGAACTATGACCTTTATTTTAAATTGCCCCTAAATTCTTAATTATCTCAATTTATCCTCTAAACTATGTAAATTATTTTAATTGATACAATGGATATGGTATTAATTAAAATAATTATATAATTCAAAAGACAAATTGAGACAATTAAAAATCAAACAACAATTAAAAAAGGGGCTAATTTTACTTTGTACCCTAAAAAATATTTTGATTCTCAACTTATAGTGGTATAATTAAAAATTTTAATTTACACCCACAAAATTATGAATTAATAACAACGTGGACATTACCTAGACTATCGTTTAATTTTTCTTCATAAATTGAAGCACGTTAGTTGCAAGTCCTTCAGTCATAAGCTTATTTATAAATTTACAAATTATTGGTGTCTTATGTAAGTTGCACATGATAGACTTAGTTTCTATTTGATTAACGAAACTTTATTTTTGATACATTAAATGATGTCAAATTAATTGCAGACGAAAATCTACAGGGATGAACACACTTCATCCTTATGCCCAAATCACTTGTATAATTCATATGCTTCAATTTATGATAGAAAAATGAACGACAATCTAGACAAGGTCCACATTATTATTAATTCATAACATTGAGGGTATAAATTGAAATTAAAAATTGAAACACAAGATTTATACAATTATTTTTTTCCCAAGTCGGTGCCGTTTCGCCCCTTGGAAGTTGCTGTATGCATAATTGGATCTTCTTGGTAACACATTCTTGAAATATTTTTCACAACAAACAATCATTTTTATCAAAAATTATTTTACCAAAATTATATATATATATATATATATATATATATGGTGTTATTATATAAATAATATAGTTATACATATGCATGTAGGTGTTAACTATACTTAAGCTTAATCTTGCAAGAACTAAACAAACTTGAATAAGAAAAATAAGCGAGAAAATATTAAAAATAAGTAGTACTTAAATAATAATTCAAATGACGTTATTTTCTATCTAAATTTTATTATAAAAACTATATATCTAATGTCAAAAAAAAATAAAAAAATGTGAGGGGCACATGCCCACCCTGGTCCAAAGGTGGCTCCACCCCTGAATCCCACCGAATTTAACTACACCCACATGTTACCCATTTTGTCTAACACATAGCCCAAACTCTTTCTCTTTTTCCTGTTAACTGTTTCACCTCTCTTAATTTTTCAGAAATCATTGTCATTATACTTAGTCTCTCATCTCTCTGTGCAGACTCCAATAATGACTAGACTTTCTTTAGCGAAGCACGACATAATCTGGAGACCCACTGGACTTACCCACTTTGACAATCCACTCTCTTCTATCCAAATTGTATTGAGAGTGATCTAATCTCCAGAAGTACTCTCGCTGATACCCATTATTATTTATCGTTGATGATTTTTTTGGTTTGGTTTAGTGGTGTATGTTTTATTTTTAATTTTTAATGTTCGTGTGGTTTTGTTGTGAATGAATTGTCATTAACTGATTGTTGTTAAATGTTATATGTTAAAAGTGTATTATTTGTACCTTAATTTAAGTTGATTTTGTTTAATTTCTAATTTTACGATAAAACTTTGTATAAAATTAAAAATATTTCTATTAAACACACATAAAATACATAATATCTCTAAGTTTAGTGCTTTCTTTTCAAAGTTTGACAGTTTAACATTTGACTTCAATAATCGCATACACACCGTCACTACAACACAAAAATCAGTATCCAAATGGATAATGTCACCATTTTTGGACGTGTAAGTTATTTAGTATATCGATTTTTTCAAAACTTTTGGTATAATTTTTCATCTTTCTTATTACAAAGTGATTCATACCTAGAGTACACTGTAAATAAATCTTCTTATCACGCATCTTAGTACCGATGGTTAATGTTTACTTCCTACTTCTTATCAATCATTGAAGTTTAAATTGTCTTTATAATCCATAAATAAAATTATCAAGTTATTATTTGTACCAAAAATAAATCACTACTGTATGAAAACCTATAGTTTTTAAAAAATTAAAAAAGAATTCAAAGCCCAAGTTAATCAGCAATTAAAAAAAAATAAGTGACCAATACAAAAAAAATAAGATACCAATTTCACCAATAAGAAATGCTCAAAACCAATCTAATCGCTATTGTTGAAATTATTCAAACATCATGTCTTTGTGTGTTGAAATTTTATAACATAGTGCCTTCAGGCACGGACAATGACTAGTATATATAAATTATCGATGGAAAGGGAGGGGGATGAATACTTAAACTCTTGACTTCAAGAAGGTAAAGTTTTCATAAGACAAAGCGTATCATTACTACAATTAGACTAATGCTCCGTTTGAGATGTAGGATAGAAAGTAGGAGGGATACACTTTTTATCCTTCAATGATAGAAAGTAAGAATAATATACTTTCTTTCTTTTGCATTTGGTTGGATGAATGAAAAATAAAAATGACTAATTATTTTTTTATTTTTTTTTTGTGCTAGCTAAGATTAGGAATGACAATCGAGTCGTGTCGTATCAGATTCGTGTTGAATCATAAAATTATGAGTCTTTTATATTTTTTGTTTCTCGTGTCAGGTCACTTTTAAGTTTGTGTCGAGTTAATAATCAAATTCTTTCGTGTCGAATAAAATTCGAATTAAATCATCATCAATTTAAATTTTTTTAACTCTAATTAAGATGAAAAAATATTTTTAAAATTTAAAATTTAAAATTTTTATTTAATTTAATTTTTTTAATATAAATATATATATATATATATATATATATATATATATATATATTTTATCATTATATTTTTATATTTAATATATACATAATATATAGCCAAATAAGATACATCTCAGCACAAATAATTAACTTTTCATCCACTTTCCTTCCAATTTTGGTGAGTTGGAAGGGAAGTTAATTCATTCACTTTTTCATCCGTCATATTTTTCTTCTTTACCAAACATAATATTTTATTTATCCCTCAAATTTTCCATCATTCCAACTTTCTATTCTTTAATTTTTCCATCATACCAAACGGAGCATAAATGTCCATTCGTTAGGAGATGCATTCAAAACAACATTAGTGGATCATATTATTGTTAGATTATTAGATCAACAAATTAGATCAATTTTTTAGATTCTAATATAATTACTTATAAGTTAATGTTGTTTAGTAGCAAAATACATGTAAATACTAGGTCAATGTCAATTTTTTTTTTTTGATTCACACCTGACTAGTTGCTCTATCAGAGTAAGGGGACAATGTCAGTTCAATGAAGAAAATTCAAGTATATATATATGAGCAAATCAAAATATTTATATAATTAGAGAGTTAGACAATTAAATAAAATTCTTGACACAAAAGTCACCTAAAATAAAATTTTTCACACAGAAGTCAAGAAGTCACTTAAGGTTGATATAAAAATCACCCTGCATTAAATTCTTAATACATAAGTCATCAAATGTTGATATAAAAGTCACTTCATATTAACATAGAAGTCACCAAAAATAAAATTTTGGGTTAAAAGTCATCAAAAAATAAAAAAAATGTAAATAAAATTAGAAAAATCAACACAAAACCTTTTTTCCCTTTTTTTTTGTCTCATCTTTTTTAAATAGGAAAAACATTGTTCTTATTCACAATTCTAAATGGACTGAAAGTGTGTATTGATAAAGATTTTTAGGTCAATAATGAGAAGATATTTGGTTAATTGATTTCAATGTGGACTAGAACTCCATATTGATCATGGTTAGGAAATAACAAATTAAATATATTATATTAAATAAATAAGTAAATAAATTAAAACCAAATAAATTCCTTTGAAATCAAAATACAAATCAAGGCTCATTTACATATTTATAAAATATTAAATATGCAAATTAGTCTTGGGGGTATTTGTAGACATTAAAAAATTGGCAAATTAATGTCTATAATTGAGCTCAAACTAATTAGAGAAATTAAAGGAAAGTTTGGAGGTTGGTACAAAAATTTGGACTTAATTGAGCTAAATTACATTAAAAAAACTTATTTAACCCTAAGTGCATGTTTTTAAAAAAAGACTAAAAGACCATTTATTACTCTATTACTCTCTCTTTCTCACTCTCTCTTCCTTATTTTCTCTATTTATCTATCCCCTATTTTTTCCATATCTCTTTGATAATTTATTTTATTTTTAAATATATAAAGATTTGATTTATTCTTTTCATCTTTCTTCTATTTTCTCTCAGTGTTAATCTTGTTCTCCTTATTCTCTATCTCTCTTTTTATCAGCGTTACAACTCAATTATACCAATTAGTTATAATTACTCTACAATACATCAAACAATTGCTCATGTGCTCTAATAAACTAAATAATTACATAAAATTATAATACCAATCCAATTTATTATTTAATTGTTTACATAAATTAAAGAGTTACATCATTTAGTATCAGGACATGATTACACCAATTATATACACTAAATTGGGTTTATCATTACACCAAATTTGGTATTATAGGGCAATTATTTGGTAAGGGCAATTTCAACTGATTAGTGTAATTGTGTTATTGTAACGTTAATATAAAAAAAAGAGATAATAAGGAGAGAGAGAGTAACTGTGAGAGAAAATAGGGAGAGAGGTAGAAAAAATAGGGGAGAAAGATGGAAAAATCAAATCAAACCTTTATATATTTGAAAAAAAAATAAATTATCAATGGAAAAAAGGGAAAAAAATAGGGGAGAGATAGAAAGGGTAACGGAGAGAAAGAGAGAGCAATGGTATGAAAAATAGGAGAAAAAGAGAATGAAAGAATAAAAATTATGTATAATTTAAGGAATGGTAAGTAAGTAAAAAAAATTCAAAAGTCATTTGAATTTTGTATCTAATTACAAGATATTTTTATTAAAATTGAACTTAATACAATAAAATATTTATTCTTATACTTCATCTCAAATACGTTTAAAAAAATATACCTACACCCAAAAAATCCTAAATTAAATTGGTATGAACATAAATTCCATAAGCTCAAATAATACAAGTCAAAAATTAATTAAATAAACTTGAGTTTGACCTAAATTCTACAGCCCAAACAATACAAACTCAAATTTAATTAATTAGACTTGTCAAATTAAATTGTGTTGAACCTAAAACTCAAATAACATAAATCAATCAAAGCCCATAAATTTAAATAAAAATGGGTGACACACTACCTAAAGCCCATGCAAGCGTATTTAGTTAAAAATACCTTGTATGAATAACTACTTCTTGTGGTATAAATAGGGGTCTGGAGAGGCCAAAGAGAGAGGGCCAAGGAGGAGAAGAAGAAAGAATGGTGGAACTCTGTTCGAGTCCAATTTCAGCCAAAACCTTGTAAGTCTATCTCCGAGAAGAAGAGCACACTGCCAATGTCTTTTTTCAAGAGATTCAAATTATTTTTAAGTCATTCAAAATGAATAAGGGTGAGAAGATTCATCAAAGTCATCACCAAATCAAAAAACGAGAAATACACTCGTCAAATTCACCAAAGTATCAAGGTCGAGAATTAAGCAAATCAAGCCCTCATCTTCAACGAATTTACCAGTGTATCACCAAATTGAAAATCAAGAATTACATCAACTCGACCATCATTTTAGTCGAATTCATCAAAGTTACCATCAAATTAAAGATCGAGAAATAAGCCGATCAAACCTTCGTCATCATCAACTCCATTGAGAATTAGAATGTAGTAAATGTAAGAAACACGTCAAAGAGAGTCAACGTCACTTATTAAATCAAAATCAAATCATGAAACAATTATAATTTTGACATTACTTTTGCATTAATATTATATACGACATTCATCATTACAACATCCACCACAATATTATTGAATCATGTTATTATCACGTTATTAGATTAATATAGTAGATAAATTCTAATATAATTACTTTTAATGTTAGTTCAGTAGCAAATTCATTTTTAAGATTTATTAGCCATGTAAATGATAGGTCAATGTAAGTTAGAAAATTCAAGTATATATATGAGCAAATCAAAATATCTATATAATTAGAGAGTTAGGCATTTAGAGTTTATCCCACACATTTTTTTTGTCTATTTCTATCACCTTATCTATTACTATCACAAGTTGAATTATTTATTTATTTTTATTAATTTGTGGCTCAATATAATTTTTATTTTGAACATTATTCATATATACAATAGTGTACACATGTTGATATTTTTTTGATTTTGATTTTAAATTAATTTCAAAACTATGTAATTAAAAAAATTATTTATTAATTAATTTAAAAATATGTAATTAAAGAAAGGGAAGGGAAAAAAATTGTCATTTGATATAGTAGAACTAATATTTTAGACGCTCGAATTTAATGTTGTATCGTGTTTTCAATCACGAGTTGTTACTGATCTGCTTAAATAATAGATAATTTAATGTATCAACATTTCTGACAAAAAGAAAAAATGTATCAACATTACAAAAAAATTGAGTTCATCTTGCACTAAACTTTTGTGAGCTGATAATGATCATAAGTTCAAAACAGTATATGTTTGGGCTGATATTAAATAGAACTTGCTTCTCTTAAAAATAAATAATAATAAAAAAGAAAATGTGTTTTTTTTTTTTTTTGTTTATATAAACATATCTATTAAACATTTGTTTGAGGAATAAATTTTATAATTTTAAAATTATGCTGCGACTAAAAGGTTTTACGTCTGTATCTAAAATGACTTCACTCCTATCTTCGATGCCAAAAATATGTGCAAAATTTGATAATGCGCGTGTGATATACTCTCGATACGGCGCGTGGGGGTTTACACCCCTCAAAAACCAAATTACATGGGCCCCACCCTGGGTGCAACTCCTCTCTGCATGCTGAGTGACATCAATTGTATTAGTGAGTCGGTTTCTAACTGACCCGCCCAGTGATGGCATGAACCCTATATCTATAGGATAAATCAATATTAATGCGTCGTGTAAACCATACGTCTCGTGCCGAGTCGAATGAGACTACTCCAGTCCAAGTAATCTCAAAATACTCCGGTCTGTGGCATCAAATCAACCAATACAAATTCTTTATACAACTAAAATCACTCGTTATACCAATTCATTCTTCCGCAATGGATGCATTTCGTTTATACTGATCACGAGCCTCCTGCGCAGGTTTTGGTTTCTTGTGGTGATCTTCATCATCCAAGAGCTTTCTTTACAATGCAAATATGGCTTACCATTGACTAAATCATACAAGATTTAGAGAACCAAATCATACAAGATAGTTTTGTCGTACCTCATATACACTCGCCATCTCAAAATCAGTGATTGCAACTAACAAAAAAAAAAAACTTCATTAGTTTTGGTTTTCTCTAAAGCAAAAGCTTGACCTTCAAATCCATGACAGTGGACGGCAAATTTTGATCACGTCACAGCATGTCCTGTTCTTACTGCTCCTGTCTAAGTATTTATGAAAAAAGAAATTGAATTCAGCATGTGGCTCAACAATGTTGAGTCACTTGATATTCATGGCTGCAGCCATTGCCCTTAGCTCCTTGGCAATCTCCGAGAAGGCAGGTCTGGCATCAGGATCGGATGACCAACACCTCTCCATTAGTGATCTCCATGTTGGGTCGCACCACCTGGGGATTTCAGGTCGCAGATTGCCTTTAATTATACCACCTGAAAACAATGTTAAGAATGAAAGAAGGTTAATTAATATGAAATTGTCAGCAAAACTGAAGCCAAAATCCCAGTTCATGAATTAGACAAAGCATTGATATACCACGGCTCTTAATTTTCACTCAGTTATCGACCCAATTTATGTTGTAAAAACAAAAATGACTGCAAAAAGCATGAGGCCCTCGTGAGATAACACCTTCTGTTAAGGAAGAACTGAAGGAAAAAAGGTCCATTAGCTGAGTTAGCCTTTCTATGGAAAAAGGCATGACAAGATAGAATCTGATGACCCGTTTGATATTGTCAAATCCTATTGTTATCCAATATATAGGGAGAAAAATCACAATGATGGTGTCACCATGCATTTACAGCCTACAGGGTCCTATAGTTAATATTCTCCACAAAAAAAGTATAAATAGTGCATATCCACTTGTAGTGGGCTGTTCAAAGTGTGATATACCTATTATCTCCTTTGATCGCATATTTGCATAAGGTTCCTCCCCCGTCAAGAGTTCCCACATGGCAATTCCGAATGAGTAGACATCAACCTAGAAATAAGCATTAAGAAATATCAAGTAAAAGTGAAGCAAAGATGGAAACATGTATGACACATGGAGTGTCTAATATTTGACCAAGTATGATATCCAACCTTTTCTGTAACCATGTCCTTACTCTTCAAAAGTTCTGGAGCCATCCAAGGTATAGTTCCTCGCACCCCACCAGACACAAGTGTCCTCTGCTTAATTTTCGATAAGCCTAGATCACCAATCTGGAACAGAACCAAGACAAAATTAGAAGTAGGTTATATATATATAAAAAAAAAAAAGCACCCTAGAAATGAAGAGACTGTGATTCAAGTTATGCAACAGAAATGAACGGCCCAAAAATGTGCAAAACAGAAAGTTCCATTTTGAACTGCAAAATGTATTTTCATTTGGTTACTTACCTTGCAAACTGGTCGCTGAGGATCTTTCATATTCACAAGGAAGTTGTGGGATTTTAAATCGAAGTGGACAATTCTCTTCTCATGTAGATATTCCATGCCAAAGGCTGCATCCATGGCTATGATGAGCCTTTTTCGTCGATCAATTGTTCTGCAGATCGGAAACAGTGTATTTAGTAGACTCAAGTGCATTTATGGGCCATATTCGGCACAAGATCAATGAGATGACAATACAGCTAATAAATTTCCCTATTTCATGAAATGCGACATAGACACCTTAAGCATCTGAATTATAGTGCAAGAGACTTCAGAGGGTTAACCCTGTTTAATCGTGTTCCCCAGGAAATAAGCAAGGTCCAAAAGGACCAAAAGAAATATAAGTAACTCACCTTTGATATTTGAACTGCAACAATAGACCAATCATGCCTATCAATTATTAAGGATTTTACGTGGGAATGAAATTTAGTTCAAAAAGATAAAAATGAAAGGAAAGCAAAGGACGCACAAGGAAAAGGAAAAACAAAAGTGTCAGAATAGTTTTTTCATGCCAAACTTTGCCATCTTCAGTCACATCTGAGTTGAAATACGTCTCTTCGTGAGAGACCCCTGTTACTTCCAGCTACATGACTAGTGCATTCTTGCCTGTTTGATGTGATTCTTAAGTCTTAACTGTACATATAACCTGTTCCTATCTTATCTAAACGGTTGGGATTTTGTTAATTTTTGAGTGTACTAAGATCATGCACCGGAGATAAAAACCTGCAACCTGATTGTGAAATAGAAGCTAATTGTTTTGACCGCAAAAATATAACTATCTTTTTGAGTAAACATCTTCTAATCATGATAAGTGATTCATGTTGTCACACATCTTTATTTAAGGCTCAGTAAACATCTGCTAATCATGATAAAGATTCATCTTGTGACACATCAGAATTTAAGGCTCCCCGCACAAGGAGTGACTTATTTATATCCTGTTCTGCCCCCAATTTCCTTTTTCTGTCCGATCAAAGCATCACAAATTCAAGATTGAACACAGCTGCCTTCAACTTTATAACCAAAAAAAGATCTATGAACATTTTAATATCCCATTACACTGGTCTAGCAAATTACAATATTGGAATGATCAAAATAGATGCAGAAATGGGCAGTCGATATGTCCTGTGATAGCGTTAATAAAAAAGTACCTATCTTTTCTCCGCAGAACTTGTTTTAGGGAGCCGTTCACCATGTACTCTGCCACAGTTGCCAAATTGTTGGCAGGCCCATCTGTAACTACACCATACAATGCAACGATATTTGGATGGTGAAGCTGACCCAGCATATGAGCTTCCTTCCAGAAGTCCGCAACCTTTAACAAAAGTTGACAGAAGCACAAATTAATCAGAGAATCATGCTACAGCATGCATTCATCAACTAAGATAAACGGATGTTGATCTAGAATGATAGGAGGTGCCTGAGTCAGTGAGAAGAAAATAGTGGTCTTCTTCTTTCTTTTATTTTCTTTATTTCTTGGTAATGTGAAACTTGTTGACAAAAATGAAACTAAAACACTCTCCAACATGGCAATTCGTATACACACAAAATACTAATGATGAACTGTAAGTATAGCTTTATTTTGTGTCAAATTCATGAACTAAAAGACATTTTCCAAACAGCGGATTTAGAATATGGGAGGAAAAACAAGGTTACCAATCGATCCTCCTCCCCTGCACCTTCAGTGAAGCAGCTGGGCTTCATCCTTTTAATGGCAACATCAGATCCTTTCCATTTTCCATAGAAAACAGTTCCATATGCACCCGAGCCAAGTTCTTTAATATATTCAAGATCAGAATTTTTTATAGTCTGCGGACAACAAATAAAAGCTTACCTCAACATGGAGTGAAATCAAAACAAAATTGTTATATAACATACGGCTACTAAAAGAGCTAACACCTGCAGAAGTTGAGGGTACCTGCAGCTCCCTAGCGGCAAGATGAGTGTAAACTGCTGTCAGTTCGGAAGGGATCCCACCATTTGCCTTTTTAACATCATCCTGCCAAAAGAAATTATAAGGTAGTCAATGTCACAGGAAATGACCTACTATTTACCTTCCAATGATGTTTTTGGCTTTGTTTTCAACTTCTTCAACAATTACGTGAATATGAAATAGCTTTGGAGAATACCTTTTCATCAATGCTCAAACCAGATTGAGGGTCCTGCTGAACCTCCACTTTTGGGTCATTATCTCTTTCCATTTTGGCTGCCCCGTGACCAGAAGAATCAGAAGCAACTCCACTTGATTTTTCAGCTTGAGGGGCTGAGCTCAAGTGCTCTTCATCCATTAAATCTAAAGCTTTTGATTGAGGCTTCAGCAAGGCTTCAGAAACATCACTACTGGCAGGAGGAGAATGTACATGCGGTTCCACCTTTTTGGATGATGATAAGGATAGGCTATGCAAAGAAAGGTCGAGTAAAGACGCAGCAACACTTCGTTGAGTATGAACACCATTACTATTGCATCCTGACTCTGTTCCATTGTTAGAAGCTGGAATATGTAGTAAATTACACGGATTCATAGCTTCCTGCAGGCCTGTCAGGTATGCTTCCCCTTTGATATCACAAAAGGTTGGGCCATTCATGGGCATTTCAGGGAGATTTTCGAAGAGAGTTTGACATGGAACTTCACCGTTCCTGCTGCCTGGAGCAGTTAAGAGATCTATCGGAGTGTTTACAGCCCTTGAGCAAGATAACAGATTCTTGGCAGCATTAAGAGGCAACAGAGACTGGCCACACGTGCTTATGCAAGCATTATGATAAGCTAAGGGGTATTCCTTAGGATTTTCCTTTCCATATTGAGGAACACCAAGGCCACTCTGCTCTCTCGTGTTTTCTTGATTACCAAATGAGCAAGTTTGGTTTTTTAGGCCACAACTCAATGTTCTTTCCACTCCTTCAACTTTCTGCTGATGGAAACCAGGCCATATTTTGCCCCAAGTGGTATAGCATGACCTCATAGTCTGCCCCTGTTTTGAGATGTTTGAACCCGACCTAAGCCCAGGGTAAAATTTTCCTATCCAAGGCCTTCCATCAATTCTGGCATTCCGATGACTCCCCAGCTCACTAAGATTATTCCGATGGCTTTTTATGGGGTACGGATAAATTCTCTGGTTTCTCATATCACTTAAACCAAACCTATGGTTGCGAATGCCACAATTAGAACCACTCCACACCCTGTCATTTCCATATGAAAACTTTATTTGATAGCCACTTCCAACAAACTGATTACTAGAAGAGACTGCTGCAAACTGGTTCCTTTCTATATTGCAATCTACACCCCAAGGCATAATGTTTTCCCGGTTTCTATTTCTCAAATATGCTGGCTCAACACTTTTTAAGTCATAGTCCCCGACAAAGCCATTAATCATCGAGTTGATATTAGGATAACATGATGGCTTCGGATACTGGCCTGCCGGGCCTGCCCCAACCAATTGGCTCAAACATCCAGCACTAGTTCCAATTCCATTACCAAAAAGTAAACGAGACTGTCCCGATAAACCATGCTTAAACCCATTCGATTCCACCAGTGAAATCCCATCCATCGCATTCAATGGACGAGAATCAGACACAGGCAATGAAATCAAAGTGCCAAAATTCTCACTTTCCATCAAATGGGTGTTGGAAGACTTGCAATCTAATGTATTCACCCTATAGGAATCACCACCAAAACTAGGACTTTTGGTTTCAACACTCAATGGGATCTCTGTTCCAGAGGTCAAGTCAATAAGTGGACCATCATATTTCTTATTGTCACTACAAAATTCCATTTCACTCTGTTCAAAACCACTGCCAAAACCCCGAATTCTATCAGATTGTTTCGCTAACAACTGTTGTTTCAATACCATTTTCCTCAATGAATCATCACTAGATTTCTTAACTTTATCACCTCCACACAAATAGGTCATCAAATTTTTAGTCTCAAAACCCTTAATCCCACTCAAACCCTCACCCACCCGCTTCACACAAGCCCCCCTTTTATCACCCTCAATCCCATTGTTCTTAACAAAACCCACAATCCCATTACTCAAATCCTCGCTCTCGACAGTATCCACAGTCACGTCACCATTCACTAGTTTATCAACATACCCATTATCACTGCTATTACATACAAAAACCCAAAGCCTAGTGTTCTTACCGTGAAATACAAGCTTCTCATACTCATCAACCATGCATCGAACGTCGTCGTCTGACGTGATCGAAACCAAATGGCTCTCTCCTTCTGAAGATTCAGTCCCTGTTAACTGGTATTTGAGATGGAATGAGACGGTGCCGTCTTTCTGAGGGTTAACAAGAAGGAGTTCATAAATCTTGGATTCAAGTCTTGAAAAAGAGATGGTCCGATCGATAGAGACAATACGGGTCTCGCCGCCAGTGTATCTGAGCTTACCCGCCGGTGGACGGCGGTGGAATGTGCCGTTGAAGCTGACAACCAGCTTGAGTTTGGGCCGCTTCCGACGGGAAAGAGAAGGTTCTTTCATGTCAATATTGATTGAGAGAGAGAGAGAGAGACTAGAGATTGTGTATGTGTATGAGTGTCTGTAAAATTTATAGAACAGGTGAGTGTGCGTGTGTGTGTGTGTGTGTGTGTGTGAGAGAGAGAGAGAGAGAGAGTTACGTAGTTACCACTTAGTTGTGGAGGGAGAGAACAGGTGTTGGTGGTTGGGCTTCAGGTTGTTGAAAATTACGAGAATGGTACTGTCTCTCTCTCAGTCTCACTCTGGCTCAGGTGTGTTCTGTTGGTCCTGGATTCTGGTTAACTGTAATTAAATATGTTTAGTTAATTAATCAAGTAAGATAATTTCTAATTATTTTTAATTGTGTCATATATTCGGGTTGATATGCATAATCCACCAAACAGAAATGGAAAATTCTACACAACAACTAGTAAATATTTGGTCCGGTTCGGCATCCTACCGTCACTTTTTATCTAACAAGGTTTTGACACATAAAATTTCTTATTTTATTAATTTAATTAAATCAATTCAACGATTATAGATCAATTACGGTATAATAACTATTTTATTTTTTTGGGTATCGTAGATTTCTTCTTAATTTGTTCATTTATTAAAGATCTACTCGATTCACATATTTATAAATTGGGTTGATAATGTTCGATACTATTAATATCAATCTTAGGTTTATGTCGAAAATTAATTAATTTTTTTTTTTTTCGAAAAACATTAATTAGATTACTATTCGAGGGGGGAGTATTGAATTGGGATGTGGTTATAAAGTTGAGAAATGTCAACACATCCCCCATGGACATGTAGTTGGGTCATAGGTGAAGTGTGATTTACCAACAATTGTATAAAAGACATGTATTTTTTTCATGTCTTTTCATGTGATTGCAACTTGCAAGAACGAAGCAAAATCAAAATTTTAAAATTTCATGTTTATTTTCAGTACACTTTTTTTTCAAAGTTTTCCTCGGTGCGTAAGTATTATCTAATTGAATTTACTTATATGGTCAAATTTGTATTGTATCGTGTATAAGTCGAAGTCAATCGAATTTAGGTCGATTAATCTATATAATAAAGTATAATACAATTTAAATTTCAAAAGATAAATAAAATAATTTTTATTTTCACGGTTGAGATTGTATTAAAATTTTATTTTAAAATTAATCTAATAGTTAATATTAACACCCCAAATTTAATAAGAAAAATATGTCTCTAAGGGTGTGCTTGAGATAACTTTTCAACAGTGTTTTTGAAATTTATAACTTCTCATAAATACTTTAAAAAAAAAAATTAGTGTTTGAAACTGTCTTACCACCATTACCACTACCACCACCTTCACCCCACCAGCCTACCACCACTACTACCACCACCACCACTCCCCCATCACTATCACCATCACCACCACTACTACTAACACCACTATTGTCATCACCTTTGTTATAACAACTATCATTACCGTCGTCGCCATCACCATTGTCGTCATCCCCACTACCATCACTGTTGTTGTCATCCCACCACCATCTCTTCCACAACAACCACAATCACTGTCTCACCACTACCATCACTTTATCACCACCATCCCCCACCACTATCCACACCCCCACCACCATTACCATCACTATCACCACCACCATTGCCACCACCTTACCACCACTATCCCTACCACCATCACCATCGCCTACCACCACTCACTACATCGCCCCACCACCACCGTCACCACCACTGCTACTACCCCCCCCCCACCACCACCACCATTGCCACCACCACCGATTGCTCTCACCATTGTCCACTGTCACCACTCACCAACATCGTCATCTTATTTTTATATTTATTACTATTACCATCATCATCGAACTATCACTGTCGCCCACTGTTAGCACCCACCAGCACCATTACTATCACTATTGTTACTATTGCCACCTTACCACCACCGTCACTGTCCCGCCACCTCCCTGTTGCCCCACCACCACCATCATCGTTGTCACCCACAACTGCTACCATCAGTATAGTCGTCACCTACCACAAACATCAATATCTTCTATCACCACTACTATCGCTCGCCCCCACTACAATCAGTTCTTAAATTCTTTTTGTTTTTCTCTATTTTTATGATTTTATTTTGGGTGTGAATACAAATTTATTTATTATTGATTATTTTTTTATTACTACGTGTCTCAGGTATGAGAAATAATTAATTATTAAATAAGTCCGTGTCTCAGGTATGAGAAATAATTAGTTATTAAATAAATCAGACAGGTTAACTTATTTATGTCACAAACTTGCTGATACTAAACTCATATTCACTAATTTTCACGTCAGTTTCATATCGAGTTAGTAAGTTATTTTTCCAAATCTTGTTGAGAATTTAGAACCCTATTCATGCATGCTACTTTATTACCCCTTAGCACCAGTTTGATGAATTTAAGGAATCAAATTATAATCCTGGTTCTTGTGCTTCCTATTTCATCAGACATTATTACTCTCAGGATTAAACAATGACCCTTGCTTGTACCATTGTTATGCATGAGGTAAATGTCACTATTGTTCTTTTTAATCTATGAGAAATTTGATTAGATTCAAAAATTAAATCTTTTAAACTCATTAAAAGCGAGAATTTTGCATACTAAGTGATACGAATAACTTCTCAACTTTAACTCTTCAATGAACTCTTCATCCAACTTAGCTTTTGCAGTTGATATTGATAAAATTTTCAAAGAACAACCCCCCTCCCCCAAAAAAAATAAAAAAAATAGGAAGGGTGACAATCATGGTCTCGGAATCTTTCTAACACAAGAACATAATGTATTCAAGTAATGTTAGTTGGACTTAAAATAATGATCTGATTTGTTGACATAATCAATTATTATCATTGATTTAATGGTGCATATCGGAATTTATTGTGACTCACTATTATTAAATAATTGTGATTGATTAAGTCAACAAATCATATCAATATCTCAAGTTCAAATAGTATTTCTTAATGTATTCAAGTGAGTACTCTACTTAGACTTAGCAACAGGTCATTTGTATAGAGTCGTGCCGTTTTAAATTGTGTTTAACATTTATCCGACTCTTTTATAGACGTGCGCATTCAAATTCATTTCAAGTCAGGTTTACATGATGCACAGGTGGTGTATTGTAGAACGTGTCAACCAATTTTTAAATGAATTTGATCGATCAATTCATGAATATTTTGAATTTATAAAAAATGACAGTACTTAACAAATTCATGTCAATTTCATGTAGAGTTTATGGATATCTTCACCGTAAAATCCTCATAGTTTGGCAAGATAGGAGGGGCATTCCTGATATTATGATGGATCAAGGGGGTAAATATAAAAGAGGACAGAAATTCTTTGTTCCTTAGTTCCTTAAAACTCTCCATGCATAGAATCCTAACAAGATAACCTCAACTTGTTATTTAGTACAATTTCGAATCACACAGAGAATATTTTTTTCTTGACCCTTTAATTTTTTTAATATACAGAATATTTACCCAAAAAATATTCAACTTTTAAAAAAAAAGTTGATTACATGTTGAACTGAACTAAGTAGGAAAAAGACAAGCTTTAAACTCATTCTTAATTCTCATGTAATTATAAAATAAAGATCGATTCATGAGAGTAAAAGAGTTTGCTGCTTGATTTTGATAGTTAAAGACTATCCTTCTGAATTAATAGCTATGACTCAAATATTCCACGTTGAGGGGCCTTTCATGTTCATGTTCAAAGAAGGTTATTATCCACTGATCGCTCCTTTCCTTTTTTCATTAGCAAAAAAAAAAAAAAGATTCAGTGATCTCAAAGCGCAAATGACTTGTTAAGAAATACAATACCATCAATTACTAATCCTAAATAACAAATGATCAATCCCTAAATGAGTTGTAATCACATCATATCCAAAAATTTAGTATAATTTTTTGGAAAAGTTTTTAGGGATGCTGCAAAAGTCTAAAAATTATTATAAAAAAAGCACACTAGAATCACTTAATAAATATTATTAAAAAAATAATATATCAGTTTTGAAAATTTTTATCATAGTGTGAAATGCACATTAAAGTGGACAACTTTATTCTCGCCCTTTCCTTTTTTTTTTTGGTTCTTTTTATACCTTCCTGACCTCAAGGAGCCAAATTGCATTTAGCTTGATAGCATTGACAGCACAAGAAGACATCAATAATAATAATATACCAAATTCCATTTTTATAGCTATTATTCGAGTCAGCTTCTGAGAATGTCTGCGGTTTTTTTTTTGTCGTTTAGTTACCACTGCTGAATTTCTCTCTTAAATTCGGGTTGTCATGGTCACGCCTAAACAAGGATTCCACCCCCTATAGTCCCCGCGAACCCTTTTTCTGTCAAAGAAAAAACAGTATATGTGTATAACAACATAGGAGAAAACACTTACTAAAAATTGATAATATCCTAAACTTCATCATCAAGTTTGGCGTAAAAATCCATCCTACTCTCCAACCCTGTCCCACGGAAGAGGATTTCGTGCAACGTGGCACAGCGAAAGCACCAACAGGTTCTGCTATTTTGTCGGTACAAAATCATCTGGACCCCACCTACTCCGAGTGCATGTGCGCCACGTAAAGATAGAGGTCAGCACACGGCAGCAAAACTCAAACATCAGGCCCCGGCCCCAACTTACCCGACCTATGCTCCTTATTGGATTGAGCCACTTGGTAATCTGGACCAGTTATTGATGTGGGCAAATGGGTCATTAGTAAGAAAATATTCGGAGCTCATCAAACCCCACGTATGACGGTGTACTTATCGAAATACTATTAGTTTAAAATGCTTTACTAAATTATCATTCTATTTATAAAAAGTATATTAATTTCCTGAAAAAAGAACTATAACTTTAAAAATAAAAATAAAATTACATTATTTTTTAATAAAAAAACTTTGAAAATTATTCAATGCTGATATAAAAAAAGAAACTCATTATATTCCTGCTCAATAGGCCAGCCTACATATTATGGGTTGGGCAATTGCATCATTCAGCCCAAGCTAAGTTTCCAAAATCTCTCCTCCATCGACTGTAGTTGGAATTGTGTGCTCATCTCATCAATGGGCCTGTATCCGGACCAAATTGAAGATACATCAACATATATGTCTAATTCTATGCCGGTTAACTCTTTAAATAGAAATACAAAAAATGACTACTCTCTCTCTCTCTCTCTCTCTCTCTCTCTCATACACACACACACACACACACACAAGAAAAATAAATACATGGTTACAACCCACCGATGTTTACTTTGTTACATCTACTGCAAAACATTTACATGCACGCATGTGAAATTAAGAACCCAAGAAAACTAGGAGAGTAGGAAGTGAAGAAAATGAATAATACTACTTGAACATAAAAATCTGACCTAATTTATTGACATAATGATAAAATTTCATAAAAATCATTAGATTAATATCAAATTCAAATATTTGATAAAACCTACAATAAATCTAAAGGTCACAGTGAATTAAATCAACAAATGATATTAGTAAATTAAATTTCAATCGCATTGCTCAAAGAAAATATACCCAAATTTAAGACCATGAGGAAGAGATTTATGTTTGGCACGTGCTTTGACATCAAAAAATTCTTCATCTTTCGATTTTTGTCAAACCTAACTATACCATCCCCTGGTGGAGCTTTTAGCTTAACATAACCTTGGTTTTGGACACGGTGCGATCCCCTCCGGCACTTTTTTTTGTCCTCCGAAATTAGTCACAATGGTAGAACAATTGCTATGAATTCATCTGAGACCCAGAGTAAACAAGGGGATCCTCCACTAATACATGGTAGACAATCGACTATTGATGCAAAATTGAGGTACAACGTACGAAAAGGAATCTGAATCCATTTTCAAATCCTCCAATCCTAAGGACCCTTGTAGAAAGCAGTTCCACAGCTCCTTCCAGCCAACTTACACCGCAAGATCCACCTTCCATTACATAGATTTCAACCCTCCAATATAGCTCCTTCCAGTTCCAGCCAATTGTAAGTTAATGTGATACTTCATTCTACAATGAGCTACTCACTCCAAAAGCATCTGGCACTTCAATGATGAGTAAGAACAGGCACCAAGATAAGAAAATGCTAATAAATATCGTTTAGTTAAATAGCACAACACTATTCCATGATAGATGACCATTTCAAGCAAGACAAAATTTCTGTGTTAATTTTTAAGGAAAACCACCATTCATTGTGGAGAGCATTATATAAAGGCCAAGAACCACCCTGAAGAAATTCGGTGGCATACCATTAATGGTCCGTAGTAATTTCTATGCTAAAAAAAGTGAAAAAATATATCTCCCTAACTCTAATTTATATGAACCACAAACCTAATTTCAACAATAGTGTCTGGGAAATTTACAGTGATGCCCCTTATGGCATAAGACAAATGCAAGGGATATCCAAGTTTTTGACTTACACAGCACTCCCTTCTGATTTGGGTTTGTATTTCGTGGGGTACCCATTTGTTAGTCAAGTGCTCATTGACAAACAAAATTTAATGACATTGTCACACTTTTTTTTTTTTTTTTTTCTTTTCAACCATTTTGCTCGATAAAGTACAAAAAAAACCAACCTGCACCCACCCCCCCCCCCCCAAAAAAAAAAAAAAAACCAACGAATGCACCACTACTATGATCAAACACACATGCACCATTACAGCTACACACACACACACATTGAAATTGAGAGACGAGAGAAAACCACCATAATGACCACCTCTGAAATCATCATGATAGCCAAACCACTGATACAGAGAGGATCTGTAACCAATCTCTCTTCCTTTACCTTCAAGATCATGAGTGTATATGCAAGTGTAGGTATGTGTGTTTGTGTGGTGTCCACATGCATGTATAAGTGTCGGTGAGCGCGAATGTGAGACCGAGTGTACGAGAGAGGGAAGAAGATGACGATGAAGAGGGAAAGGAAGAATGTGTGTTTTTTTCAAGATAAGTCTCGTCCAAAAAAGGAATAGCGAATGTTTGCATATAAGGGTTGTTTGGATGCACGAATAGGGTAAGAGCAAAATTAGAAAGCACTGATCCCATTAGTTCCATTTGGGGACAAAAGCTGATGGGGTGTTAGAGTCCCTTCAAATTGTCAGAAACCATGTGGGCATCAGATTCTCAGAGTAAGTTTGCCATAGTCTCTATTACTAGTACCAAATACAGAGACATTGATAGCCCAGGTTCAAGCCATCTCGACACTCCCCTTATCTGTTATGTGAAAATCTAATACATAAAACATAATGCAGCACATACATTTTTAACCATGAATCACATATTGCCAAAAATGGAGTTTCACCACAACAATGAGTTCTCCATCGTAAATCCTGATAAAAAAAACACTCCACAATTTCAACTAAGTGAACATTCCAAATAAAAATGAACAAGAACAAAATTTATTAGTATGGATATTGCTTGGTGGACACACCATTTACCATTTATACAATGTTGAGACCAACATCTCACCAACTACATTAAAAAGAACCTTAAAATAAAGTAAAAGGTTAATGGTGAGAAATATTTTTAAAGAGAACCCCTTAACATCCAACACATTTGTTCTTCCACTATCACTACAATCAACACACCGAGATTAACTCTTCAATACAAAAACCAACCCTACTAATACGTTCACAACTAATTTAACAGAGTAATGCATCCCTTCACATACAATTGCTAAAAATTGAAGAGAGTCATGCAGATAATACAAGCATTAATAAAATTAAAAGAATTATAAGCTCACAAACAATCAATACAACCACACAACAAAAACAACGACATAGTGACAAAATCAATACAAATAACTGAAAATAGTGCAATCTTTTTACCTCTTACTTCTTAAGTATAGCCCAGCCCCAAACAATTGAGACATTTTTGGACCCTGCAACAGAAACCACAATTCCCACTTCACTTCCTTGTACCAAAAACTTCAATGTCATATCAGAGAAATTTCAGAAACAACAGAGAGAAAAATTAAAATGGAGACCACTTACTTGTTGCCATCACAAGTAGGGCAAAGACATGGATTTATAACCACAGGATCATACAATGGTGACCACTGTATTGTTGAATTCCCGTTGCATAGCTTGCATTTGTAATACCCTATTCCTTTACAAACGTCACATTTCATTCCCTTTTGCTGCACAAATCAAAACCCAAAAATCTCATCAAAGTTACATAAATATAACTCACAAACAAGCACATAAACCACTTTTCTGAAGAGGAACAAAAACCCTGTGCATATCCATCCATATGTCTAAATGCAAACATTTCACAAGCATTACACCCTTCCCCTTTAAAAGCCTAAAGGCCATTGCATTTGGCTGCACAAATCAATCCCCAAAAATCTCATCAAAATCAAATAAAGGGAAAAAAAAACATACATAAACACACACCCAGCCCTTTTCCTGAACAAGGCCCACAAGGCACTCCATTTTGTTGAACAGATTAAAACCCATAAATCTCATCAAAATTTCATAAAACAAAAGAAAAAATTCTCAAAGACATTTTCCTCAACAAACCCCACATGGCACTTCAGTTTGTTGCACGAATTAGAACCCATAATCTCAATAAAATAACACTTAAAACACACACGCACACAACAGTATACATGAACACAGACCCATGTTTTTTTTTATGTATTTACCTTTTTAACTAGGGCTGCATATTGAACAGCGGTAGAAGAAACAACAGAGACAGCAAAAATTCCTCCGAGGAGTACAGCAGCACCTTTTACAACCATGCGCATTAGCAGAGGAACACCACTGCTCCTAGACATTGTTACAGTGGGTTTTTACTGGTTGCAGCTATTGGGATTTCTGAACCTCACAATCAACGAAAAGTCTAGAGCTGAATAGTCTCTGCGTGGAGAGAGATATATCAGAATGGTTTGTTTCTAATGTTCTCATCATCATCGCTATCGATGTGCGGAATCATATTTATGACTAGCAATAACCAGTTGCTGAAAGTACTGTACAACATATAAAAAAATTAAAAAATCGTGCATTGATCGCATCAATAAAGAACTTAAAAAAATAAATCAACTTGTGCACACAAATTATAAATTCAGAATCATACCCGAAAATGCTAGACTAACCATCAAAACACAGTCCTACTCAAACGCAACTATTTACCAACACAACCAGGAGAACTTTCAACTTTATTGTTACATGCATGGTAATGAAGTAAATGATCGCCAATAATTAGGTATGTAAAAATTCTAAAGATTAGTGGTGAAACACGAGCAAATGAACGGGGCATGACTACACAATCGTAACATATTGCCTTAAAGACTATTTACTCTGAGCAATAAATAAAATTCCAGCCAAGTATTATTGTCAAAGGAATTAATTACATCCAAGTTAATATGAAAAATTATTAAGAAAAACTATTTAACATACAAAGAGAAATGATACAAAGTTAATATGCACAAAGCAGTGGACTCACATGCCAATAGTGGTCGTCGATGGTTAGCAGCTGGGTGATGGTAGAAGTACCCGCAACCAGGATCATGCTTTGAATCATACCTATGAAAAAAATTATCTTTACCAACCATTCATTATAACCTCTACAATCACGATTCCAAAAACAAATTTTAAAATCATTAATACCCAATTCAATAGAACCAAAACCAAGTAATTTCGCTGAACTCTAACCCCTGCTAATCACGTAAGTACAAAGATAGTCTTTCCCTCGAATCCCAGATCGTAAATTTGCAGGTAAGACCTTAAAAGTTGGGACAAACACACTCAAATAGATTAAATAACACAGCCACACTACCAATACTTAAAGTATACACATGCATAGATGTTGGATTGAGCTAGGTTGAGTGAGAGAGCAAACAATATTTCTCTCAGGAATTTAAACAAATACTTCACAGGCAGGGTAGGGCTGTTTGTATGTGTGTAGAAAGGGGTTTGGTGAATGTGTCTGTGTGTGGGTGTGGGTGTGGGTGTGGGTGTGTAGAGGGAGTGAGTGTCAGTACTGGTGTCTGTGCGTGTGCAGAGGGATGTGCCTATTGTGTGTGTGCGCGCATTGTAGGTGTGCTGTGCGTGTGGGTGGGTGTCTGTGTGCGCTGAATCTGGGATGGAGAGCGAGGAAGAGAGAAATGAAGAGTGAAGATAGAGAGAAGTATACCTGGTGTAAAGACAGATTTAAGCTGGCAGGTCGTTAGTCGTCGAATGGCTTCATCGTCGGCGGTCTGGGTAGAGTGAGAAGAGAGAAGAGAGAAGAGAGAGAGAGAGAAGCTGATTTTGTGGAGATCCGAGTGGATGACAGCAGTGGGGACGGGATTTCTTTAGGTTTGGGCGGAAAAATAATTTTGGATAATTAGATTCGGACCTCCCAATATTTCAAACGTTATATACACATCTCTTAAAATTTGTATGTTCATGCTGTCAATATTTATTATTATATCCGTTAATAAATTATTTTCAGATCCCTTAAAATTTATAAGTGTATAATACTTAAATCTCTTAAATTTAAAATATTATATTTAGATAAAAAATATTTAACTAAATATAAAATATAAAATATTTTAAATTTTACAACCAAAATTCATTTTCTTTTATGACATTTATTGAAATAAAATCAAAAATAAAAATCTAATTTTTTTTCTTACAAAATTATAATTAGTATATAATTATACTATCTATTGGACCAAATTAAATTACCAAATTATTCCAATTAAAGTAGAAAATATTGTGTCCATTACAGTTTGACCAATTGTTTGATTTTTTAATTTTCTTCCAATAGAAAATATAATTGTATACTAATTATGATTTTTTTAAGAAAAATTAGATTTTGATTTTTGATTTTATTTCAATAAATAATACAATAGAACATGAATTTTATTTATAAAATTTAAAATATTTGATATTCTATATTTGATTGAAATATTTTTGCTCTAAGTATAACATTTTAAATTATTATACGTTTACAAACTTTAGGAGATATAGGTGTAATTTACCAACAGAGATATTGACGACAGATGTCTAAGTGACAAATTTCAAGAAGACTGTGTCTAATATTTTAAATCCCAAGAAGTTTGCGTGTAATATTTTCAATGCTAGGGAGTTTGAATGATTAATCTTCCAATAATTTTTGGGAATGAATTTTGGAGTATTCAATAGACTTGGATAAAAACTAAATTTATCTAAACTGTTTCTAACTAGGTTAAGTTGAAAAATTCAATGAGTCATGTTTTATTATTATGGATTATGAATGTGTCTAACTCGTACATGTTGTACTTTATTCCAATTTATATTTATTTATTTATAACTAATAATAATTTTGTGCCTGAAGTTATTCTATAATATCAAAAAATAAATATTTATTTTACAATTTTTATATTTTTAATACATAATTTATGATTAAAATAAATAAAGAGAAAAATAAGAAAAAGCTAGTGAAGAGAGAAAATAGAGATAAATGTGGATAAGCGAAGTTGTCTGATATTGAGAAGTGTGTTGGTTGCATTGATTTTTTGAGTGAGAAAAAAATTTAAAATAAATTTTATAACAATGGGTCAAACTAGATAAAAATTAAATGAATTTTAACAATTATTTGACTTTTATAAGTTAAAAATTTAATTTTTTAACTATAACATTAGATAGATAGATTGTGTATAATTGGATATATGTTGTGTCGGATTCTTAATTTCTTATTATGTATGAATCATGTAAAAAAAAATTGTATCATATTTAGTTAAATTTATATTAATTTATTTATTTGACGAATCTAACTAATTTATTTGTTTACCAGTCAATCCTTTTAAAATTCAACTCAAACTTGTTAATTTCTTATTAATTTCATGACAAATTTACAAATTTAGAATTATCATATTTATTACTCACATTAATCAAACGCTGCATTCTAGTTGTTTTATCGTGAGTTTGTGCTGCATTCTAGTTGTTTTATCATGATTTTGAAGTTGTGAAGCTAACTTATATCCTTTTTATAAATTCTACATAATTTATAAATTCTTTATCAATCCAACCTTATAATTTTTATCCTTTGATTAATTTCCCAATATTCCCCACCTTATTTGCTTAAATTTCTGTTGAATTTCCATTGATCGAATTTGTTCAATTTTTCATAAAATTTTTAACATAATACCGAAGAAACTTTTTTTCAAGGAAAAACTCCATTTTTTTCCCGAAGAAGAATCACAATATTATTTGCCAATTTTTCTATTTATTTCCTAATTTCAACAACATTGGCTTAAACGGTTAGGATCAAACTGTCGAATCGTTATTTGAATTAGAAATTGTGATTCACACATTCTATTATTATTCAATTTTCAGTTCGAATTTGGCTTAAAATTATTAGTCGAAATTCTTATATTTCAAATTCATTATCTAGTGGTATAGGATAAGCAGAAAATAAGTGAATGATGCTAATCTTTAACAATATTTGTGGTTTTGCCGTTTGTGGTCATTGCCCATATGGAAAACCCCCTTATGCATATATATTATATTCATCTTGTTTCAAATGGAAATAATTCATCAAGTGCTTCTAAAGTTAATGATGTTATTAAAGCATTTCATCTTTAAAATAGTAGTTTGATGCACAAGATTTATCTTATCATACAGAGTTCAGAAGATCAAATTTACGTAACTTTATCGCGTATAAAATGACGCTTTCTATGACTCACAAGTCACATCCGTAACATCGATATAACAATTATTCAATTTTACCATGATATTGTAAGTTGTAAATAGTTTTATGCATGATCAAGAACCAACAATTGTTCTGTCTAAAGTCTAAACTACAAGAAGTTGGAGGCACCAAATGAGACATACTACTTCCCATTGATATTCTTACTGGAACAATAATGATCACTTTCTCAAGACTGAATGATTTTCACCAGTAGTCCATGCATGAACAAGAACCATCTTTGAAATGGTGAAAACGATTTCGATCCCTAGCAACAATCTCCCTGCCGAATATCTTTGATATCAACTTGGTGGCCGAGTGACAATTCCCACAGACACGAAGATTCTTCACAATCCTTATCGTTGTCCCGGGCTTTGTACTGATCAACCCGAAAGCAATGGCCAACTTCTCACTATGCTGACACAAGATACCTTCCTTCCCCTCCTCATCAATGTCATAAAACACCTCAGATGTATCCGGGACATGGCCAAAAGCCTCCAAAAGCCTGTCTATTTCATTCAACATCTTGTATATTTCTACACTCTGTGGATGTGTTTTGTCACTGACAAGAAACTCATGGACAACACTGTCTACCTCAATGGAGGTACTACCCGGAACCTTAATTATTCGTTTGTCATTCAACATTGTTCTTATAGTTGCTACATCATCCCACCTACCAGCCCCTGCGTAGATGTTTGATAAAAGGACATAAGGTCCAGCATTTTCGGGCTCCAATTCGAAGAGTTGCTTGGAAACATATTCAGCTAACTCCACATTTCCATGGATTCTGCAAGCCCCAAGTAGAGACCCCCATATGGCACCATCTGGCTTGATATCCATATTCTTAATCAGGGCTTGTGCTTCATCAAACCGCCCTGCTCGGGCTAGAAGATCAATCATGCATCCATAGTGCTGCAATTTTGGATAGACATTGTAGTCTTTGGTCATGGAACTGAAATATTTCCGGCCAAGATCAACCAAACCAGCATGGCTACAAGCTGATAAAACACAAACAAAAGTAATTTCATCTGGTTTAACTCCATCTACGACCATTTTGGAGAAAAGCTCTAGCACTCTATCTGCACGCCCATGCATTGCTAGACCTGCCATCATTGCATTCCAAGAAGATGAAGTTTTAGGATTCATACCCTCAAAGACTTGTTCTGCTGCATGTAAGTCACCACATTTGGTATACATGCCAATGAGACTAGTCCAAAGAGAGGTGTTGGCTAAATTATGAAAGTTCTTGCCTATATAAGCATGAATCCATTTGCCAAGGTCAAGAGCACCTAAGTGAGCACAAGATGGAAGAATATTTAGGAAAGTGACATCATTTGGCTCATGGTTTGATTGCTGCATTTGCCGGAAAAGGGCCAAGGCCTCTTTGTAGCAGCTCATATGCGTATAACCTCCAATCATAACATTCCATGAGATCATATCTTTGCTTTCTATGCCATCAAACAAACCACGGGCTGTGTCGAGGTCACCACACTTGGAATACATATCAATAAGTGCATTAACAAGCCGAAGATTAGAACAAATTCCATGGTCTTCAATCCAAGACCGAACCCAATTCCCCAATTCAAGAGAACCCGAATGAGCACAAGCAGAGAGAACACTTAACAAGGTGCTCTCATCAGGTTTTACTTTTGTTCTTCGCATCTCCTGAAAGAAAACCAATGCCTCTTCGAATCGGCCACTTTGGGTATAACCCGCAATCATAGCATTCCAGGACACCACATCTCTATGAGGAATTTCATCAAAAAGGAGGCGAGCATCGTCTAAACTGCCTGCTGAAATGTAACCCGTGATCAAGGCCGTAAAAGACACTGCGTCTCTAAAAGAACTTTTATCAAACACCAATCTAGCATTATCCATTTCTCCATTTTGGGCATACATATTTATTAGCGAAGTGTGTACATACACATCACTTTCAAGTCCAAGCTTCAAAACATGTCCATGAACTTGTTTCCCTTCATGGGTCATCCCTAATTTCGCGCAAGACTTCAAAACAAAAGGAAAAGTATAAGAATTTGGCTTAATACCCAGTGAAAGCATCTTAACATAAAATTCTATGGCAACAATAGGCAACGAGCTCAATGAGTATCCTCGAATTATCGTGTTCCATATAATTGGATTGGGTTCTTCAATGGTATTAAAGAGTAAGAGAGCATATGAGAGGTCACCACTAGGGTTAATGGCACAAAAATCTACGAGTTTGCTTAGAGCAAATTGGGTGTTGTGGAGGCCAGTCTTGATGATTTGAGACTGGACTTGTTTGAGGTTTTCGATGTTTTTGCATTTGGAGAGAAGGGTTAGAGATGGGTGGTTTTGGAGGAGGTTGTATGGAGGATCGGTAGTGGGGAGGATGTGGAGAGTGGTGGATGTAGTGACAAGTGAAGATGAAGAGAATGCCATGTTTGGTGAAATTGTTTGAAAAGAGATACAAAAGGGGAGCTAGAGTTTGAAATATGGTTGGTAGTTACTCGTTAGTCAACAGTTTCACCCGCCAAAAATATCTCTAAAAGATTAAGCAGTAAATTTTTTTGGGTTAGTCATAACCATGGTGTACCATTAAGTTATATAGTTGTCTTTTTTTTTTTGTGAAAGTTATATACTTGTCCAATGTCTACCTGCACATGGGCAAAAATTTAGCTTTAGAGGAAGGAGGCAAACGAAGAACAAGGAAGGCATTCACAAAACTCCCGTATTGCATGGTCTGAGGAAGGTTAAGTGTATGTAACTTTTTTATTTTTAAAATTTTTGGAGAGCCAATATATACGATGTGAAAGTATCTGTACCTAATAATTTATATAATAAAGTAGCTTATAATTCAAAATCAAAAAATAAATAAAATAATTTTTACTATTTATAATCGAGGTTGCTTTAAATTTTGTTTTAAAGTTAATCTAATGACTAATATTAATATCGAAATTTAATAAAAAAAATAGGCCACAAAAATGTGTTTAGAGTGAGTTTTTAAAAATTATTTCTCATAAATACATTAAAAAAAATAGTATTTAAAACCACCTCATCATTACCTCTACCCCACACCCCCCTATTACCACCGTCATCGCCGCCACCACCACCGCCATTGCCATTGTTGCCACCCGTTGCCGTCACCACTACCACCACACCATTTCCACCACCACCACCATCGCCACTACCACCACCACTGCTACTGTGACCCCCACCGCCATCACCACTGCCACCCCCCTACTGTTATCACCACCGCCATCACCACTGCCACCCCCACTGTTATCACCACCGCCACCATTCCCACCACCACCACCTCCACCGTCACCGCCATCACCACCGTCGTCGTTGCCCCCATTGCCACCACCACCATCGTCGACGCCGCCACCACGGTCATTGTCACTCACCATAACCATCATTGTCTCTTACCACCACCACTACCGCCCACCACCTCTCATACCTACTACAAACCGAGACTTAAATTCTTTTATCTCTTATCTATATTTGTAATTTTATTTTATATATGAATACAAATATGTTTATTGTTTATCATTTTTATTATTTTGTGTCTTTAGGCACATGCAATAACTAATCTATATAATAAAGTAACTTACAATTCAAATCTCAAAAGATAAATAAAATGACTTTTGCTATTCGCGGTTGAGGTCATTTTAAATTTTACTTTAAAATTAATCTAACGGCTAATATTAACACCCTAAATTTAATAGAAAAAATAAGCCCCTAATGGTGTATTTAGAGTGACTTTTTAAAAATATTTTTAGAAATTATTTTTCATAAATACTTACAAAAAAAAAATAGTGTTTGAAACCGCTTCGCCACCACCACCATTACTGCCGCCATCGTCACTGCCATTACTACCACTCCACCCCCACCATCGCTGCCGCTACTGCCACCACCACTGCCGCCACCATCTCTGCCGCCACCATAACCATCGCCACCACCACCGCCACCGTCATCGCCGTCGCACCATCACCACCTCCATCACCATTGTCGCCACCACCCCCTTTGCTACCACCCCCTCACCATCGCCACCTCCACTTCCAATCCCACCCCCACCACTACTACGGTCATTGCCACCTACTATAACCATCACCGTCTCCTATCACCATCTTCGCCGTCACTGTCACTATCGCCGCACCCACCACCACCTCTATCACCACCACCACCACCACCACACTGTCGCCACCACCACCACCACCACCACCATTGCCACCTCCACCCCCCACTACCACCATTATGGTCATTGCCACCCACCACAACCATCACCGTCTCCTACCACTACCACTGTCGCTCACCACCTCTCACCCCCACTACAAATCAAAACTTAAATTCTTTTTATCTCTTCTTTATGTTTGTGATTTAATTTTGGATATAAATACAAATATATTTATTGTTTAATATTTTTTATTATTCTGTAGTTTCAGGCACAGACAATAACTAGTAGAGAAAACAAAATTCTAACCTCTTAGAAGGTTTGGAAAAGCCTTGAGGGTCAAGAATGTTCATAGCTAATAACAATACACGATAAGGGGGACGTTTGCAATCTCTTGAGGATAGATCACCCTCGCCTCCCTCCTCCTCGATCCATGTACATTGATTGATTCATGATTATCAATTTGATGAGCATAGATGGTTTGGTTGGTACTCAGGACCACAAATGCTTTCATTCTAAAACGTTTTGATTCTGTGGGTTTCATGTGCCAGCAGACCCTGCTGATTGATGAGTTACATGTGCACTTGTGGGTGCGCAAATAGACACAAAAGCTTCATGCCCAACTGAAGTTTTAGTTGTCCCAAAGAGATGGGACCATCTGTGTTGTGTTGATGCAACAGAATACTCATTAATCAAGATAGTGGGTTGGATTTGTTTTTTATGCGAAAATTTGCCTGGTACCATCACTTCAAATCACCTCAATTTGCTACATTAGATGAGATCGTATGGTAAATTCAGGAAAAATACGATCAAGTCTCTGCTTTGACATAGAAAGGGTCAAAGAAAAAAAAAAGAAATCCTTTGATTTAATAAGGATAGAATAAATTTCCTCAAGCGCTAACAATTTCTCAAGGTATAATAGATAAGTAGGAGAGTTGTATCAGGTGGAGAGAACTGCTACAGGGTAGTAAACTGTCATAGTGGCACTGATATCAAAGCAGACCCCAACCTAAAAACATTCTGTGCCTAAAAAATTTGGAAATATCTAACTTGGTGCCATTCAATACATGGCTAAGGTACTGGAATCAATAGTAGTTCCATAATCGATCATCTGCTAGTGCAATTGGTGCTAGGCCTAGGTGAATCGCTCCTGAAAGAAAGGCAGTGTGAGAAAATTCAATCAATTGGCGTGCTACTTCCCATGAGAAGCTTGAAGAATATTTCTAAAGAGATACCATAAAGGCTAGGACAATTGAGGATTGAGGTTTCATGTATCTCTGTGACATCCCTAGCATTGTTGAAACTCGGGCTACGAGATTGGCTGCACTGTCACATAGAATCAGCATGAAAATTAACATTTCCCTTTTGAGGGTGTCCACATAATGTGGTCATTTTTTCATCAGAAAAAAGGATAGCAATCAATGAAGACACTCAAACGAACCTACCAACACCAATCCTCTCAGTTGCATCAATTCTTAGAGCTGTTAACAAAGCCTCTCATTAGTGGGCACAATGGTTCTTCCTTTCCAATCATTGTCCGGTAGCTAGAGAAACAAACAAAGAGAATGAGATTATGCATTTCGCATTTATGTTATGACAGAAACATTCCTCCAGAAGCTCACTATACAAAAAGTAGAGCCTATTTTTGGTTTATCTTAGTAGCCAAATGGAAAACCTAATAATAAGTTTCAAGATACTGTTCTAATAGACAGGGCAGTTAGCAGCATAAACAGGTATTTAGAATGTAAAAGATGCGAGTATGAAAACCCGTAATTACATTGTAACAAATATGACAGTATACAATTGCCAAAACAAAATCCAATTCCCTAATTGCACGTTTTTCAACAAAAAGTTTTGTCTTGATTAAGAAAAAGGAATTTACAAGTCATTTTGATAATATCAATGAAGGTTGTGATAGGAAAAAAAAAATGTCAAACAAGTGGGCTAAAAAGGTTCTTCAAGGCATCTGGATGAAGAGTGTATCAAATCATAATCAAAACCATGATTACAATTTAACACTTGCTAAAAATGCAAATTGACAAAGCAGAGAGGGAATATTCAAATTACAGATGGCAATGGCTTTTTCATCGCCGTTAGAATGTGGATTCTTCAATTATTATTGAGATGAATTGGCCCCCTTTTGAGAATGGTCACAGATATAGAATAAAGAATGGAACTTTGTCTAAGGTTTAAATTTTGGCATATCCATTCTTTCTTGTTAGAATTGATGATTAGGATTCCTCCTTATCAAATCCTAGCCGACCCGCCAGCACTTGTGCTTTCATGGAACCATATACGTTTACCATGTCAGCGATGTAGGCCTGCCACCATGATCAAAAGGATTTTTCATGGCACATGAGTAGGTCCTTGGCTTAAGCATATTCTTGTGGTCAGAGCTTCATTGACCTCCTCTGCCCATTGGGGCTACACCTACAATGGATATTTGACTAAAAATTCCTTTAGTTTCTGATTTTTAACTCTAAAGGATGCTTTACACTAAAAGTTAGTTGGACATAAAAATTAGACATTTCTAATCGAACTTCTCTACTAGAATTATCACATATAGAATACTTCTCTTATTTTATTTGACATGTTAAAGAATTTTCCTTTTCAGCTTTCTAGAATGCAATACATCCAACAAATTGAATTCAAACCTTATTAGAATCTTTGAAAAAGCCAGTGCATATGGTAAGCACAATGCACTGTAATTCTAAATGGATAGTGATTATCTAAGCATTTCCCCATATATATGCCCATCATAAAGAATGTCTCCTATTTATCCTGGAAAAAGTATAATATTTTCCCCAATTAAAATGATATTATTATACTGCAACTTTTTGGTCCAAGGGAACCTAAAGCTAATTTCTACCTTCATGATAAACAACCTACCACGCTATTGATCCATGGTGTGGATAGAGACAATCTTTTAATAGAAAATACTTTCATTGGCAATTTCTTTAAATTCAATTAAAGGCGGTTCTGGTCATACCTGTTGGATCTCTTGGGACCTGAGTCTGCAATGTAGAATATCATGCAGGTTTACATGCAAGACCTTTAGGGACAAAGTAACCAAATAGCTGGTCTTGTTGCAGTACATGTATATACAAATATGAGGCGCAAAAGAATGCCACTGGATATGAATCTTCAAATGGCTTTTGAATTATTGGAGAAAAAGAATCGAAACAAAGAAGAATGACATTTGTCAATGGATGCCCATTAAGAGGAATCGATTCCTACATGGAAAATTTCTCCAGCTCTTTTGCGTATAACCTGTCCCATGTGCACCGGAACTGTATAAGCCTACTGATCAGGAAGGTGTATATGCAGGTTACATGGAACCCATTCACAAACGTGACGTATGCACTTATGCATCGATAAAAGTAGGAGATGGATGTTCCCACCTTTCAAATAACAGCTTCCCCTCATAAAGCCTAGCGGGAATGGATATAGGAAAGAGAATAATATTTGGAGGCCTTTTTATTGCAATAATGCATGAAAAATCCTATAAAGAGGTCCATAATAGGATTTTTGTTGGGAAATAGATGGTTCTATGCATGCACTTACCAGTTTACTTCTTTTAGCAGCCTTCCCTGCCCACTCCTCACATCCCTAAAAGGGCAGGTAAATTTTTACTTTAGGAATCCCACATTAAGGAAAACCATTTGAAGCTCAAATGAATTGAAAAGGAATATTTTGGGCCCCGCTGGTGAGGCCTTGCCAAGTATATAAACCATACCAAAACCCATTCATCAAAATCACCAACTCATTTACAATATCTTCTACTACAACTGATACATTCATTCTTTCAATCACAAATTTTAGTGAGGTGTGGCCCTTTCATTGATTTTTTTTTTTCAGCATTTTAGATCATTTAACAAGTGTGGATATAAAAATTTCCTCCAGCCTGTCCACTTCTTTCACTAAACCTACAGTTCTTATTGCACCCCATTGTTATCGTTGTGTGTTCCAAAAGCTGTTACTGCTATTTTCGAAAAACCTTGAGTCAAGAATATCAGTTTATAGATTAATGTGTTTGTCGAATGTTTCAATGGGTAAGGTGTTGTTCATGTGTCAAAAGTTCAGTTTAGCATACAGGCTTACTGCAACTACTAGCAACATAGAAGATGAGACTCTCCTAGGTGTTAGTAGTATTGTAGAAGATGCATAATGATAGACTCTTTATGCTGTTATTCACTTATGACTCTTACACATTCTCATATACCTAGTTTGATAGAAAATGCAATGTGATAGCTTGGTTTCTGTTTTTTATTTTACCTTCCTGTTTTCAGATATTGAGGCAGAAAAATGAGCAGAGAAGGAGACTGGATGTGCGGTTCATGCCAACACTTGAACTTCAAAAAGCGGGATTCGTGCCAAAAGTGTGGCTACCCCAGGTATGGTGGGACTGATGTGTCATCATACGGGATAAAACAAACAGAAGTCTTGGCTGGGGACTGGTACTGCACTTCCATGAACTGTGGAGCACACAATTATGCCAGCAGGACAAGCTGCTATAGGTGTGCTACACCAAAAGATGGTTATGCAGCATATGGGAGTGGCATGATGGGATCGGTAGGTTATGTATCTGACACCACTGTCCCACCTGGTTGGAAAACTGGTGACTGGATATGCAGCAGGTTAGTTCACATTTTCTTCTAGTTTGAACTGATGAAACCTCTTTTTTCTGATGATACTGAGTAGAGAAGAAGTAAGGTAAAACATGCTAGACTCATAACTTTTGATAAGTGAAACCGGATTCAAATGAAATGGTTTTCCAAGATTTAGCCTACATTAGGGTACCGCTGGTTAGCAATGACAACTACTATGCTGATAATAGTACTGTTGTGGGTGTCTTGTGTTCTTCTCCAAGTAAGATTCAAATTTGGAAACCTGTTTTCCTTAGGGATTTGGAGACATGTCTTGTTTTACACTAACTCAAAAACTGATTTGGAAACAAGATCTGTATGGGGATGTATAAAACTAAATCTATTAGGAAACGGGGTAATTGGGTCAATAAATAGATTGTCGACCACTTAGTTTCTCTTGGAGATTTTGGTCCTCAGCTTTGAGCATCCAATTCTAGATCCATTCCCTTGGTTAGAGAACTTTGTCTAATCTCTTTCATAAATAGTGGAACTTTCCCTCTGCACTTCGTCCCTGGACATTGGCTTTTGAGCCGAACCAGGTATATTTGTGTGTTCTGCATTTTTCTGTATCGTTCTGTTTATTATTTGTAGCCTTGTTCATAACATACACTGTCGTTAATTTCCTGTGGGTTACTGATCTAATATGAGTTCATTTGAAATTTTGCCAGACTAGGATGTGGTGTACACAACTATGCCTGTAGGATGGAATGTTTCAAATGCAAGACACCTAGGGATTTTGGTAAGCAAATCGATGAAATCATTGTAGTGTATTTATATTTTATGTGTGATAACACTTTTTTTCGACAATTTCCTAAGACATTGATTCATGTTACTTTTAGGAGGAGCAGTCTGAGGAAGGTGGATTAAGAGAGAGAATCAAACTTAATTCCAATTTTTCTGCAGTTCTAAATTCTAACCCTCCTAAAACACATTTTCATTTTTCTGTCTGTCCTTTTTACTTTCTCTTTTCTTTCCTCATCAGCATAAAAAGCTCTTGATTTATGGTTGATTACCCATTTTCATTAGCATTGACCTGTATTTGCCCAAGTAAGGCTTTCGAACTTTTTATTGTATGCTGCCTGGTTTCTTGATTACATTAAATTAATGAAATCCCTTCAGTTTTTCAATACGTTCTCTCTATCTCTCTGAATTGGTGGAGCTTCTATAATTCAATACTGTGGTGGTCCAAAGGATGTTTGGTGGTGGTTTCTGCTAGCATAACTGTCAACATTAAAGGCATGTCCACGGACGCTGTTAAAGCATAATATTCAAACAATGCAATAAAAGAACAGCAAAAATATTGCATTGTTTGAATATTATGATTAGTCCATTTCAGAAGATGGAACTGTCTATATTTTGTGTTGATGCAAGAGAACACAAATAAATCAAGATGGACAATAGTTTGGTTTGATTTTGATTCCCAAACTTGCCCTGCATCATCAATTCAAATCACTTCAATTTACATTGGATGACATATTCTGTCCAAGTTGGAAAAATGAGTAAAACTTTCACTCGGTCAACTGCATGGGGAAGAACTAAATCCGCATCAAATGCTAATGATTCTCAACGTGTAATGGATAAGTAGGAAACTCATATCAGGCAGACAGAACCAGAACATGGTAAGTGGTGACCGATCAGAATGCCCACCAAGAGCATTTTGTGTCCTACAATTTGGAGTCATTGACTTTAGTGCAATATATTGCAGGGGCTTAAAATCATTTCTAATTCATTCAACTGCAAGTACAGTAGGTGCTACAATTAGACAAATAGCACCAGAAAGAAATGCCGTATTGGAAAATTGTATAACTAATTAGGGCGCTGCTCGTCTGATGCCTCCCACAAGAAGCTAGGAAAACTTGTTTCGAGAGATTCCATAAAGGCAACATCAATCGAGGGTAGTGATTTCTTGTCTGGCTGTGACATACCTAGTATTGCTGAAACTCTGGCTACGAGATTGGCTGCACCGTTGCACAGAAGCAGCATAATAATTTACTTGGCTTTTTGGAGTGTGTGCACATAATGTGATCATTTTTTTGTGCCAACCATTGAGGGCACTCAAAAGAGCCTACCAAAACCATTCCTCTCAGTTGCATGGATTCTAAGAACTGCTAACAATGCCCCTCGATAGTGAGCACAATGGTTCTGCCTTTCCCATCAACGTTCTGGATTCATTCATAACGTTTCTGCTTCTGCATTGCTCTTCATGTTTCAGATTTTATCAAGATGTAAGTTAGCAGAAAGATAGCTGGTAAGAGAAACTTCAAAGAGGATGTAACTATGCATTTCCAATCTATGCTATCCTGCCTGCAGAAGCGATCAATACAAAAAAGAGTCTGTTTTTGGTTTTGAGCAAATATATATATATAATTCGTCTCATCAAGCTTTTGAACAATTCTTTGCGTGGGACATGGGAGGAAAAATTTGCTTCCTCGGCCACAGAATGAAAATTGTAAAATCTGTAGTACTAGTTGATTTTCTTCTCCCCTGTACCGTTTTAGCCAAATGGAGCATTAATACAAGACAATAATCAGAAGTTTAAAAAACTGTTCCAGTATATCAGTTAGCAGCATAAACCTATACTCAGAATCTAGAACGGGTGAAAATGATGATCCATAATGCCATTGTAACCCATGTAACACTATTCTACTGTCAAAACACAATCCAATTCTTTTAATGGGGCATTTTGAAACAAAAACTTTTGCATTGATGAAGGAAAAAGGCATTTACAAGTCTTTTTCTCGGTCTCATTTTTAGGATAACATCAATGAAAGGGTGTGATAGCAGAAAAAAAAGGGTCAACCAAGTGGGCTAAAATGGTTCTTCAAGGCATCTGGATGAAAAGTGCAAGAGAAAAAAACTGTCAACCAAGGGGCTAAAAAGGTTCTTCAAGGCATCTGTATGAAAGGTGCATCAAATCATTGTCAAAACCATGATTATCATCTAACACTAACCTAAAATATAAATTTGCATAGTGTTAAGGGAATATTCAAAAGACAAATAGCCATGGCTTTTCCACCGTTAGATGTGGACTCCTCAAGTATTATTGAGATAAATTGGTCCCATTTTGAGAATGGTTTCAAATATAGAATAAAGACCGAAGCTTTGTCCAAGGGTATGTTTGTTTAGCAGAAGAATGGTAGAAAATATTAGAAGGAAAATTTTTTCAAAATTTTTATGTCATTGGTTAGTATGAAATGGATTTTTAAAATTTTTATATGTTTGGTTAGTATGAAATGGAAAATACTGAAAAAAATAATTTTTTTTCATACTTGAATTTTTTCACAATTAACCAACTTTTTTTCTTGTAAAAAACACAAGAAAATTCGAGAAATTTGTGACTTATAACTAACTTCCTATTTCGTCCTTATTTTTTTAAAAATATTTATTGTTTATTAATTTTAAAAAATATTAATATGGATTTGATTAACCATATAATTTAGTTCAAAGACCTTCGTGCTGATATGGTGCTTGTCTTAGAATTAAGTTATGAATCACTTTTTTATTTTTATTTTTTTGACTTTCAATGATAATATCGATTTAATATAATTAAGAATAATTTAGACAATTAGAAAAATTTTCTTGTAATTTTTTTTTAAATAATAAAATAATTTTTTTTTAAAACTTTATTACAAGTTTTTCATCTTAACCAAATACATATAAGAAAAACATATTTTTTATCATTTTCTTTTCTTTCACTTTCTTTTCTGTCATTTTCACTTTTTATCGTTCTTTCCTTCCTAATCAAACGGACCAAAGGCTTTAAATTTGGCATATTCATTCTGCCTGGTTAAATTGATGATTAGGATTCCTCCTTACCGAATCCTAGCTTGACACGCCATCATCTGTGCTGACATGGAAGCATATATGTTTGCCATGTCAGCAATTGGGGGCCTGACATCCATGTCAAAAGGACTTCTCATGGCTAGGTTCTTTGCTTAAGCATATTCTTGGGGTCAACAGTTCCATTTCCATCCTCTGCCCACAGGTGAGGTAGGGCTACACTACAAGGGATACCTGACTACAAGGGATACCAAACCACATGTATCTAATCGAAGTAAGATTCTGATCAAACTAGGTTGCAGGGTGTACTTTATATAAAACACTTTTATTCCCTTATTTGACAAGTGAAATTTTTTTTTCTTTTTTATATAAAGTTGTTTAGAGAGTTCTATTTACCCGCTTCTTTTTGCATGGTGCTCCTTATTTTAATCCTATCAGCCCATGAGAACTATGTACTATGCATAAAGTGATCACTAAGCATTGTGATTGAGGCATTCAAGGAAAAGTACATATGTGCAGAAATATGGGACAGTAACATTAAAGACCTCAAGTTTGAATGAATACAGTATTTTGTTTATCTTTCAGACCGGTTCAAGCATAGTTCATCTCCTAAATTGGCTTCAGTTTAGCCACATTCTTTGTTTTCCATTCTAATCAATAATTTATATTATAATGTCAAATTTGATTGCATTACTGGTTGATTTGTTCTCCCGAAGGCGTAATTTGCATAAAACCCTGACTCTGTAATTTTTATTTCAATGTTAAATCATGGAGTTCTCAAAATCTGAAGGCAGAGTGCATAACATCCAAGTAATTGAATTCAAACCTAACAAGAATCTTTGAAAAAAGCCAGTGCCTTAAGCAATAACCGTATTTATGTAGCAGATGATAAAGACCATTTGCTGTAATCCTAAACTATTGATTATCTAATGCATTACCACATATATATACCACCACTCATAAAAAGTGTATTCTATTTATCCTAGTCTATGAGTCTGACATGTAGAAAATCATGTTTACACAAATTCATCACACAAATAACATGTGACGAATTATTGCAGAAAAAGAATGCCACTGGATATGAATCCTCTTATGACTTTTGAATTATTGCAGAAAAATAATCGAAACAAAGAAGAATGGAATTTGTCAATGGATGTCCATTAAGAGGAATCGATTCCTCATGGAAAAATTCTCTGGTTCTTTTGGCTTCAAGCCTAACCCATATGCATCGGACCTGCATAAGCCTGTTGATAAGGAAGATATGTATGCAAGTTAGAAGGAACCCATGCACACCTGTGACGTATGCATTTATGCATCCATGTCAACCCCCAGCGATTGGTAAAAGTAGGAGATGGATGTGCCCACCTTTCAAATAGCAGCTTCCCCTCGTAAAGCCTAACTGGAAAAGGATATAGGAAAGAGAATAATATGCCTTTTTATTGCAATAATGCATGAAGAATCCTATAAAGACGTCCGTAATAGGATTTTTGTTGGGAAATATGTTTCTATGCATGCACTTACCAATTTACTTCTTTTAGCAGCCATCTCTGCTCACTCGGTCACTCCTCACGTCCCTAAAAGAAGGCAGAGAGATTTTTATTTTTGGAATCCCGGCAGAAAACCATCTGAAGCTCAAATAACATGAAAAGGAACATTTAGGACCCCACTGATGATGCCTTGCCAAGTATATAAATCATCCCAACCTCTTGATCAAAGTCACCAACTCATTTGCAATTTCTTCTACTATTAGTGGTACATTCTTTCTTTCAATCCAATATTTTTTTTAGGTGAAGCCCTTTCGTCGCTGTTTTTTGGCATTTTATATCATTTAACAAGTTGGGATAAAAAATTTCCTCCAACATGTCCACTTTTTTTACTAAACCTACAGTTCTTATTGCACCCAATTGTTACAGAATATGGTCTCGTGTTCCAAAAGCTGTTACTGCTATTTTTGAAAAACCTCAAGTCAATAACATCAGTTAATAGACTCACGTGTTGGTTTAATTCTTCAATGGGCCAAGGTGTTGTTCATGTGTCAAAAGTTCAGATTAGCACACTATCATGATTATCTAATTCACAGACAGGCTTACAGCAGTCGCTAGCAACATAGAAGAGACTTTCCTAGTTGTTAGTAGTATTGTAGGGGATGCATAATGATAGACTCTTTATGCTGTTATTCACTTTTGACTCTTACACATTCATATATACCTAGTTTGATATAAAATGCAATGTGATAACTTGGTTTCTGATTTTTTTTACCTTCCTGCTTTCAGATATTGAGGCAGCAAAATGAGCAAAGAAGGAGACTGGATGTGCGGTTCATGCCAACACTTGAACTTCAAAAAGCTGGATTCGTGCCAAAGGTGTAGCTACCCCAGGTATGGCGGGACTGATGTGTCATCATACGGGATAAATCAAACAGAAGTCTTGGCCGGGGACTGGTACTGCACTGTTGTGAACTGTGGAGCACACAATTATGCCAATAGGACAAGCCGCTATAGGTGTGCTGCATCAAAAGATAGTTATGCAGCGTATGGGGGTGGCATGATGGGAATGGGAGTTTATGCATACGACGCTAGTGTCTCTCTTGGTTGGAAAACTGGTGACTGGATATGCAGCAGGTTGGTTCACATTTACTTCTAGTTTGAACAGATGAAATCTTTCTCTTTTCTGATGATACTGATTAAATAAGAAGTAAGACAAATCATACTTGAAATATACCTTTTGATTATTAAAACCGGATTTGAATGAAAATGGCATTGCTAGGAATTAGCCTCCATTGTTGTATGTTGTTCTATTATGGCAGTGTTAGCAAGAACAACTACTATGATCATTTCTTTGGGTTCTTGAATCTAACATGAGTTCATTCTGATTTTGGCCAGACTAGGATATGGTGTACACAACTATGCCTGTAGGATGGAATGTTTCAAATGCAAGACACCTAGGGATTTTGGTAAGTAAATATATAAAGTCATTGTGCTGTATTTATATTTTATGGCTGAGAATACTTTTTTTGACATTTTCCTAAGACTTTAATGTTACTTTCAGGAGGAACAGTTTGAGGAAGGTCAATTAAGAGGGACCATCAAACTTATCCCAATTTTTCTGCAGTTCTATGTTCTAACCCTTCTAAAACACATTTTCATTGTCTGTCTGCATTTTCTTCTGTCCCTTTTCTTTCCTCATCCACATAATAAGCTCTCTAGTCAAGGTTGATTACCCATTTTCACTAGGAAGGCTTTCTAACATATTGTATGCTGTTTTGTTTCTTGATTACATTATGTTAATAAAATCCCTTCAGTTTTTCAATACACACTCTGTCTTTCTCTCTCTCTAACATTCTCATTGAATGGGTGGAACTTCTATAATTCAATAGTTTGGTGGTCCAAAGAATGTTTGGTAGCTGCAGGCGGGAATGAGCTCTTGAGCTATTGAAAGCCATGAGCATGGACCATTATTATAGCATTATATTAAAGCAACGCAATAAACTAAGAGAAAAAATATAGTAAAATCAGATATGAGATTCAAAGTATCTATATGATTAGTTCACTTCAGAAGATGGCCTTGTGTTGCAGCAATAAAATTGATTCCTTTTTAAGCATCAAGACTCCCAAATGAGAGGTGTCACATCTATAATACTGATTGATTTTCTTCTCCTGTCTATCCTTGTAGCCAAATGGAGCATTGATACAAACAATAATCAGCAGTTTTAAAATACGGTTCCAACACATCAATTAGCAGTCTTATTTTCAGGATAACATCAATGAAATGTTGTGATAGGAAAAAATACTGTCAACCAAATGGGCTAAAAAGGTTCTTCAAGGCATCTGGATGAATGCATCAAATCATTGTCAAAACCATGATTAACAACATTAAAACTAGCTAAAAAATACAAATTGACCATGGCTTTTCCATCGTCGTTAGGATGTGGACCCTTCAGGTAATAAAACCTCCTTTTTGAGAATGGTCACAGGTATAGAATAAAGACTAGAGCTTTGTCTAAGGTTTTAAATTTGGCATATTCAATCTGTCTGGTTAAAATTGATGATTAGCATTCCTCCTTATCAAATCCGAGGTTGAAGCGCCAGTGATTGTGCTTGCATGGTCAAAAGGTCTTTGGCTTCAACATGTTCTTGTGGTCAGAGTTTCATTGCCATACTCTGCCTAAGAGTGGGGTAGTGCTACACCTACAAGGAATGTCTGCCTAAAAAATCCTTTGGTTTCTAACTTTTAACTCTAAAAAGATGCTTTAGGTTTAAAGTTAATTGGACAAACAAATTAAAAGTTTCAAATCAAACTGCTCTGCTAGGATTATCACATGTAGAACACTTCTTTTATTTGACATGTTAAAGAATTTTCCTTTTCAGCTTTCTATAATGGAATACGTCCATCTAATTGAATTCAAACCTTACTAGAATCTTTGGAAAAGCCAGTGCCTTTTGGTGATAATCTTATTTATAAAGCAGATGGTAAGCACCATGTGCTGTAATTCTAAATGGATAGTGATTATCTAAGCATTACCCCATATACCCATCATAAAGAATGAATCCTATTTATCCTGGCTAAAGTATAAGATTTCCCCCAATTAAAATGACATTATCATACTGCAACTTTATGGTCCAGGGGAACCGAAAGCTAATTTCTACCTTCATGACAAACAATCCACCATGCCATTGATCCATTTTGTGCATAGTGATTAGCAACGCAATCCTTTAATGGAAAAAAATTCCTTTGACAATTCCTTTTAATTCAATTAAAGCGGTTTTGGTCATACTTGTTGGATTTTGTAGGACCTGAGTCTGAAATGTAGAAAATCATGCATGTTTACATGTAAGGGCTTAAGGGGCAAAGTAATACACTGAATAGCAGGCCTTGTCACAGTACATGTATATATAAGTATGAGACCTAAAATAATGCAACTGAATACGACTCTTCAAATGGATTTTGAACTATTGGAGAAAAAGAATATAAACAAAGAAGAATGGAATTTGTCAATGGATGTCCATTAAGAGGAATCGATACCTATGCAGAAAAATTTCTCTAGCTCTTTTGTCTTAAAACCTCACCCATGTGCAGTGGAACTGCCTACGCCTACTGATCAGGAAGGTGTATATGCAAGTTAGATAGAGCCCACGCACATGCGTGACATATGCACTTATGCATGGATCCATGTCAACCCCCAGCAATTGGTAAAAGTAGGAGATGGATGTGCCCACCTTTCAAATAGCAGCTTCCCCTCGTAAAGCCTAACTGGAAATGGATATAGGAAAGAGAATAATATTTGGAAGCTTTTTGATTGCAATAATTCATGAAGAATCTAATAAAGAGGGCCATAATAGGATTTTTGTTGAGAAATAGATGGTTCTATGCACGCACTTACAAGTTCGCATCTTTTAGCTGCCTTCCCTGCCCAATCCTCACATCCCTAAAGGAGGGCAGACAAGTAAGAGAGGTCAGCTACATCTTTCATAATTTTTTACTTGAATCCCACCTTAAGGAAGCCATCTGAAGCTCAAATAACATGAAAAGGAACATTTTGGCCCCAATGGTGAGGCCTTACCAAGTATATAAACCATCCCAACCCCTTCATCAAAACCACCAACTCATTTGCAATCTCAACAACTACTACAAGAGATACATTCTTTCTCTTAATCCCCAATTTTCTTGAGGTGAGGCCCTAATATTGTTGGTCATTTGATATGGAAATTCAAATTTTCCTCCATTCCACTTCTCTTACCAAACCTGTAGTTTGTATCGAACCTCGTTGTTGCAGAACATGGACTTGGGTTTCAAATGCTGTTACTTCTATTTTTGAAAATCCTTGAGTTATGAACATCAGTTTTAATATTGTTGTGTTTGATGAATGTTTCAGTCATGCACATTCTAATCAGTTCCAGGTTTAAAGCAACCTCTAGCAACATAGAACAGGCCCACCTAGTTGTTAGGTGTATTGTAGGAGATGCATAATGATAGAAAAAGTATAATGTTATTCACTCATGATTCTTTCACATTTACATATACCAAGTTTGATAGAAAATGCAATGAGATATTTTTTCACCCTTTCGTTTTCAGATATTGAGATATGAAAATGAGCAGGGAAGAAGATTGTATTTGAAGCTCATGCCAACATTTGTATTCAAGAAGCGAGATTCGTGCCAAAGGTGTAGCTACCCCAAGTATGGCGGGACTGAAGTGCATCATACATAAAAGTCTTGGCCGGGGACTGGTAATCCATTGCCACAAACTGTGGAGCACACAATTATGCTAGCATGACAAGTTGCTATAGGTTTGTTGCATCATAAGATATTTATGTAGCATATGCTGGTGGCATGATGGGATCAGGAGCCTATGTATTCGATGCCACTGTCCCTCCTGGTTGGAAAACTGGTGACTAGATATGCAGCAGGTTAGTTCACATTCATTTCTAGTTAGAACAAATTAAACCATTCACTTTTTGGACGATACTGAATAGAGAAGTAAGATAGAACATGCTAAAAGCATGAATTCAGATAATTAAAACCTGACTTGAATGAGAAAGGTATTGCTGGGAATTAGTCTGTGTTATTGTATGCTGTTTTATAATGCCATTGTGAGAGTTACAACTACTATGATGGTAATATCACATACAAATTCTTGTGTATGCTTTGATTAATTTCTTATGGTTCTTGGTCTAATATGAGTTTGATTGAAATTTTCCAGACTAGGATGTGTTGTACACAACTATGCCTGTAGGATGGAATGTTTCAAATGCAAAACACATAGGGAACTTAGTAAGTTACTTATGAAGTAACTTTACTGTCTTTTTTTTTTTTAATGTCTGAGAAACTTTTTCAACATTTTCTTAAGACATTATTTTATGTTACTTTCAGGAGGAGCAATCTGAGGAAGGTGAATTAAAAGTCAGACATTTAAACTTATCCCAATTTGTCTGCACTTCAAATTTCTGACCCTTCTTAAAAACATTTTGATTTTTCTGTCTTTTCTTCTTTCTCGTCTTTCATCATCTATATAACAAGCTCTCGATTCATGGTTGATTACCCATTTTCACTAGCATCACATGTAGTTGCCCCAGGAAAGGTTCCTAGCTTTATTTTATGTTCAAGGTATTCTGAGTTATATGAAGTCAATGAAATCCCTTTTATTTTTTTAATGTAAGTGTATCTGTGTGTGAGTGCATGCGTGTGTATGAAGTACTGGAACATCTATAATTCAACATTGTGGTGGTAATTTTTGCTAGCATAACTGTTCTAGAACAGCACTTACAGAGCTATTAAAAGGCATGGCCATGTACCCATATTAAAGCATTATATTTGTGCAATGCAATAAAGGACAAAAAAATATTGTTGCAGCAATAAACTTGATTCCTTTAAGTACCAAGGCTCACGAATGTGAAGTGTAAGACCTATAATACTGGTTGATTTTCTTCTCACATCTAACTTTTGTAGCCAAATGGAGCATGAATACAGAACCATAATCATTAGATTCAATATACCAGTTAGAAGCATAAACAGATGTCTAGAACTTAAAACATGCGAGAATGAGGATCCATGATTACATTTTAACCCATACAGAGAACTATTTAAAATTTTAAATGGCAAAACATAAATCAATTTTTTTTTTACCTTTTGGCATACAGTCCAATTCCTCAAATGCTGCATTTATGGAACAAAAACTTTCGCATTGATGAAGGAATCATTTTCTTAGCCTTATGGTCAGGATAACATCAATGAAAGGGTGTGACAGGGAAAAACACTGACAACAAATTGTGTTTGAAAGGTTTTTCAAGGCATATGAATGAAGAGTTCATCAAATCATTGTCAAAACTAAGATTAGCACTTTAACACTAGATAAAAATGCACATTCACATAACAAAAAGAGAATATTCAAAATAAAAGTAGCCATAGCATTTGCATTTCCATCCCTATTAGGATGTGGAATCTTCAATTGTTATTGAGATCAATTGGCCCCCTTTTGAGATTGGTCACAGATATAGAATAAAGAATGGAGGTTTGTCTAAGGTTTTAAATTTTGGCATATCCTATCAGTCTATTTTGGCATATCATATCTGTCTGGTTAAAATTGATGATTAGGATTCTTCCATGTCAAATCCTAGGTCGACACGCCAGCATGTGTCTAATTTTGGCATTTCCTATCTGTCCGGTTAAAATTGATGATTAGGATTCTTCCTTGTCAAATCCTAGATCGACACTCCAGCATTTGTGCTTTCATGGAACCATGTAAGTTTTCCATGGTCAAGAAGTCCTTGGCCTAAGCATATGCTTGTGGTCAGAGTTTCATTGCCATCCTCTGCCCACACAGGTGAGGTAGGCAATGGAAACCTGACCAAAAAATCCTTTATTTACTAGATTTTAACTCTAAAGGATGCTATAGTGTAGAAGTTAATTGGAAAAACAAAATAGGAAGTTTCTGATCAAACCACTCTACAGGGATTATTAAATATAGATCTCTTTTCTTCCTTTATTTGATAAGTCCAAGAATTTTTCCCTGATGTACAAAGTTGTTTAGGGTGTTTTATTTACCCTCTTCTATCATCCTCCCCCCCCCCCCAATTTTGATTCTGCCAAGCCTTGAGAACTACGTATTATGACATAAGTCATCACTAAACATTGTGATAAAAGAGGAATGCAATGAAAAGTTCATATGTGCAGAAATATGGGACAGGGTAACTTTTTAGACCTCAAGTGGGAATGAATACAATATTTTGTTTACCTTTCAGAGTAGTTCAAGCATAGTCCATTCCATTCGAATCAATAATTTATCTGACAATTTTAAATTTGATGGCCTTATTGTTTGTTTTGTTCTCCCATCATTGTAGAAATATGGGACGACTTAATCTGCATAAAACCCTGGCTCTGTAATTTTATTCTCATTGCTACTAATGCATGGATATTTTAGAATACAAAGGCAGAATTATGAAGATATTATTTTACCATCTTTCCTTTTCTGTTTTCTAAATAGTTGAATTCAGACCAAACAAGAATCTTTGAAAAGCGCAATGTTTAAGCAATAACCTAGTTTATGTAGCAGACGTGAGCACCATGTACTGTAATCCTATATGGCTAGTGATTATCTAATACATTACCTCATGTATATATCAATCATATAGAATATATCCAATTTATCCTAGCCTTGTGAAGGTTTTGCCTTTTTGAGGTCAAGGGTTCAATTCCCCCTTCCCCTTTCCCTCCCAAAAAAATAAAAAATAAAAAATGGTAAAAAATAAAGCATCTTCACTGCAACTTTTTTATCCAAAGGAACCTAAATCCAATCTCTACCTTCAGCATGCACAACCAACCATGCTATTGATCCAGTTTTTGCATAGAGCCGTAATCTTTTAATTGAAAAATGACTGAATTCATTTAAAGGCAGTTCTGGAATAGGTGTTGGATCTCTAAGGACCCGAGTGTTACTGTAGCCTACAGTCAGGTCCAAAGAAGTCCAACAAAAACATCATGCTTGTTTACATACATGCAAGGGCTATTATAGGTGCAAATTAATGTACCCCATAAAAGGTCTGGTACCAATACATGTATATGCAAATATGAGACGCGCAGAATGCCACCGGATATGAAGATTCATATGGCTTTTTGAATTATTGCAGAAAAAGAATCAAAAGAAAGAAGAATAGAATTTGGTAATGGGTGTCCATTAAGAGGAATTGATTCCTGAATTGGTAATGGAAAATTTCTCTAGCTTTTGGCTTCAAACCTGTCCCATGTGCACCGGAACTACATAAGCCTCCTGATCAGGAAGGTGTATATGCAGGTCAGATGGAACCCATGCACACAATTGACGTATGCACTGATGCATCCATGTCATCCCCCCTTCATGGCGAGCATCCATATAACTAGCAGATGGAGTTAAAATACCATAAATGCCACCTTTCAAATTAAAATCTTCAACTTATAAAGCCTTATAGGAAATGGATATAGCAAAAGGAATAATATTTGGTAGCCATTTTATTCAAATAATGCATGAAGAATCTTATAAAGAAAGACATAATAGGAACTTTGTTGCGACATAGATGGTTCCATGCATGCACTTATCACATCCCTAAAAGAGGGTAGACAAGTAAGAGTTTTTATCTAATTTTCTTTTCATAAATTTCGACTTCTGGAATCCCATCTTAAGGAATCCCATCTTAAGGAATCCATCTGAAGCTCAAATAACATGGAAAGGAACATTTAGGACCCCACCGGTGAGACCTTACCAAGTATATAAACCATCCCAACCCCTTCATCAAAATCACCTACTCATCTGCAATCTCTTGTACTACAAGTGATACATTCTCATTCAATCCCAATTTTTCTTGAGGTGAGGCCTTTTCATTGATGGTTTTATATGCAGTGTAGCTGTGTAGATCATTTAACAAGTTTGGAAATCAAGATTTTCTCCGGCATGTCCACTTCTTTTACTAAACAAGCAGTCCTCATTGGATTCCATTGTTATAGATTTTGGTCTTGTGTTCCAAAAGTTGTTACCACTATTTTTGAAAATCCTCGAGTCAAGAACATCATTTTTTAGATCTATGTGTTGATGAATGCTTCAGTCCATGGAGCAAGGTGTTTTCATGGGCGAAAACTTCAGTTCAGCATATTGTCCTTATTATCAAATGCACATACTAATCAGTTACAGGCTTACAACAACAACTAGAAACATAGAAAAGGCTCTCCAAGTTGTTATTATTACTGTTGGAGATATATAATGATCACAATTCCATACTTTTATTTGATGATTCTTACTCATTTACACATTCCAAGTTTGATAAAAAAAAAATTAAAAAATGCAATCTGATAGCTTGGTTTCTGATTTTTTTTTATCTTCCTGCTTTTAGATATTGAGAAAGAAAAATGAGCAGGGAAGGAGATTGGATGTGTGGCTCTTGCCAACACTTGAATTTCAAGAAGCGGGATTCGTGCCAAAGGTGTAGCTACCCAAGGTATGGCGGGACAGACGTTTCATCATACGGAATCAAACGAACAGAAGTCTTGGCCGGGGATTGGTACTGCACTGCCATGAACTGTGGAGCACACAATTATGCCAGCAGGAAAAGTTGCCATAGGTGTGCTGCATCAAAAGATAGTTATGCAGCTTATGGGGTTGACATGATGGGATCAGGAGGTTATATATACGACACCACTGCCCCTCCCGGTTGGAAGACTGGTGACTGGATTTGCAGCAGGTTAGTTCTCATTCACATCTAGTTTGAACACATGAAACCACTCTCTTTCTTGATGATACTGGATAAAGAAGAAGTAAGGTTAAACATGCTAAACACACGCCTTCTGACAATTAAAGCCGGGGACTCAAATGAAAATGACATTCCTATTAGTCTAAATAATTGAAAGTTGTTCTATTGTGCCAATGTTATCAATAAGAATTACTATGATGATAATAACACATATGAATTCTTCAGTATATTGTCATTAACTTCTTGTGGTTCTTGGTCTAAAATGAGTTCGTTCGAAATTTTGACAGACTTGGATGTGGTGCACACAACTATGCCTCCAGGACGGAATGTTTCGGATGCAAGACACCTAGGGATTTTGGTAAACAAATCTATAAAGTAATTGCACTGTTATTTTATACACTGTCTGAGGATATTTTCTTCGACATTTTGCTAAGAAAATCCATTCATGTTACTTTCAGGAGGAGCAGTCTGAGGAAGGTGGATTAAGAGAGACAATCAAACCTATCCCAAATTTTCTGCAGTTCTAAGTGCAAACCCTAGCTCCTAAAACACATTTTCATTTTTCTGTCTGTCTTTTCTTTCCTCATCTGAATAATAAGCTCTCGATTCATGGTTGATTACCCATTTTCATTAGCATTGACATGTATTTTCCCCTGGCAAGGTTCCTAACTTTATTTTATTAGAAACACATGTGAGTGAAAAGAGATACTCAAACTAAGAGTAGAGCCCCATATATATAACCAACTAATAGTACAAAGTGACTTAAATATCCTTGTGGTCTACACAAAATATAAAAATCATAATAAGGGTAAAAAAGGGAAAAAGAAACCATAATAAACTAGACTATATTCCAACACTCCCCTCAAGCTAGGCGTAAAAATATCAACTAAGTCAAGCTTGACAATGGAGTCCAAAAGCATGGATAGAGTGACATTTTTGGTGAAAATATCCGTAATCTATTCACTGGTCCCCATAAACAATGAAGTGACAATACCACATTTAACCTTCTCCCGATGAAAGTAAACATCAATCTTTATATGTTTTGTCCTCTCGTATAATACAGAGTCAGAAGCAATCTAAATAACAGATCAATTATCACAATTTAATCTAGATGAAGAAGTCACTGAAAATCTCAACTCGCCAAGAATCGATCGCAAACAGATAATCTCACATGTGCCAAGTGCTAGTACCCGATACTCAGTCACTGCTGACGAGTGAGAGACAACTGACTATTTTTTACTCTTCCAAGAGATAAGATGAGCCCCCTGAAAAGCACAGAAGCATGTAATAGATCAACCGTCACACGCTCCTCCATAATCTGAATCTAAATAACAGGCTAAAGAACCAGTCTAAGATCCTAATGCATAAAACAAGACAAGTCCAAGACAAAACTTTAGGTACCAAAGAAAATGATAAATTGCATCAAGATGAGACTGACACGGCTTGTGCATGAACTGACTAACTCGGCTGACAGTGAACGAAACATCTGGCCCAGTGTTGATTAGACAGATAAGTCTACCTACCAACTTCTGATAGACAGTTGGATCACTCAACTCCTCACCTTCAGCAGTAAACTTTATGTTTGGAATCATGGGTGATGATGCTAGTTTGCACTCCAGCATCCTAGTGTCCAATAGAATATCTAGAACATACTTCATCCGAGAAAGAATAATACCTCTGCTGCTACGGACAACCTCAATCCCAAGAAAGTATCGCAGAAATTCAAGGTCTTTCACATCAAAGGTCTTCCCAAGGTCTACCATGACCTGTGCAATCCCAGAAATATCATTCCTAGTAATAATAATATCATCTATATATACCAAAAAGATGACACACTGCCTAGAAGTATTCCGTCGAATAAAGCATGTATGATCAAAATGACATCTGGTTAACCCTAAACGTATAATTACACCACTAAATCAAGAGAATCAGGCTCATGGTGACTGTTTCAGTTCATAAGAAACTTACGCAGTCGACACACCTTCCTAGCATGCTCCCTCTCACCACAAAAGCCTGGTGGTGCATCCATATAAATAATCTCATCCAGATCACTGTGAACAAACACATTTTTCACATCTAACTGCTAAAGAAACTAAGAGTACTCCGCAGTCAGAGAAATAATCAACCGAACTGTAGTCAATTTTGCCACAGGGGCAAAGGTAGCACCAAAATCATGACCTGGTACCTGAGTAAAGCCTTTTGCCACAAGTCTAGCCTAATGACGATCAATAGTACCATTCCCAAGAAACTTCACGGTGTAAACCTAGTGACAACCAACAAGCTTCACCCCTGAAGGTAAAGAGACAAGATCCCATGTATGACTACGTTGAAGAGCGTCTATCTCCGTTTGCATGGCAAGAACCCACTAGGGGGTTCTCACAAAGCCTTTGAAACAGAGCAAGGAATCGATGTACCTAATAAGGTCATACTATAAGCTCGAAATATAGGACACAGATCACCATAAGAAACATAAGCTAAGATCAGATATAAAGTCCTAGCGGTCCAACTATAACGAACAACTAGACGATGATCACGTCACAGATAACAATGTCCTAAATCATCATCCTTCACTGACAATGTCTCATCAAGAAAATTAACTGGCTCAATACCTGCAATCTCATCAGTACTAACAATAAATGTATCAATATGCTCAACAAATTGAGAAGTATTACTTGCATTGCCTGAGGTAGAGGGAACATCAGCAGGGGATGAGAATGATGGCGATGAATATAAACCTACAAAGGAAGAGAGACAACTGACTCGTTTTTCCTTTTTCAAGAGATAAGATGAACCCCTTGAAAAACACATAAGCCCGTAGTAGATCGACCGTCACACGCTCTCCTATAATCTGAATCTGAATAACAGATTAGAGAACTAGTCTAAGATCCTGATACATAGAACAACCCAAGTTCAAGACAAGATATCAAGATGAGGCTGACATGACATATGCATGAATTGACTAACTCGACTGACAACAAATAAAATGTCGGGCCTAGTATTGGCTAGATAGATAAATCTACCTACCAACCTCTGATAGACAGTCGGATCAAGCAACTCCTCACCAAGACAGCCACTGCCTATTGCCCATTGACTGAGACAACCATTGCCCCCCAAGTCCACAGCCTGCAACTCCACCGACAAAATAAAAAAAAACATCGAACAGACAACCTCAATCCCTCAACGACAACAAACACACCAAACCCATATACTAGTACATACTGAGGGCAACAACAAACCAATAAATCTAGCAGTGGTAACAAACCAGTAAACCCATTAGACATACCACTTGTAACCCAAAACCCAGCCCATTGTCCAACCCAAAACCCAACCCACCCGTTTGTAACCTAGCCTAACCAGTAAACCCAGCCCAACTAGCCCAGCCCCAAACCTAGTAAACCCATATAAAACGACCCAGCCAAACCAACAAATCTATCCAACAGCAACGCCAACCCAGCAAATCTATCCAGCAGTGATACCAGCCTCTGTCTTCGTGCTTCACGCTCTTCATAGTGTCGTCATCTCTTTTGCAGCACTGACTTCTTTTTTCTAGAGTTGCGACATCTAGGACCTTTTTAAGAGGGGTCGAATCTTCTTCTCTGTTGGTCTAATTTTGATGCAGTAAATCACTTATATATTCATTGAATTTATGGGCACTGTGACATGATTATTTGAGAGCTTTCTAGACCTTCTTTATCAGTCGCTACTGCTCGACTGGAGGTATATTGTTCTCCCTTATTTTTGTCCTTCTACTTATCTTAGAGTATTTTCTGTCACGAGTGCCCACGTATTGTTGTCAATATGACTACTACTGAGGGACTTAAGATATATGTTGTTAGTACTTTCACCTGAAATATACCGCCTAATTCTCCTACTGTTATGTTTGACCAATATACAGTACCTACTAGCACAGTTGCATTACTGGCAATGCCAGGTATGATCTCTTAGAAGGTTACGACACAATTGTTGAATGATCATAACTTTGCTGAGTGGTTACGCTCATTCCAATTTTTCTTAGACCGTATAGGGAAGCTTGGTTGGTTGGCGAGATCTCACCCAAAGACGGCTGATGACAACCCTAGATATTCTGCGTGGTTCTCTAAGAATTACGCTATTCTTGGATGGTTATTGGGTTCAATAGAGCCCTCTGTTTACAGGATTCACTAGTTTCATAGCTCTGTTCTGAAGTTATGGAGCACATTATCAGAGATGTATTCCTAGTCTGGACGAGGAGTTAATGTCTATGAGCTCTCTTAGGAACTTTCATATGCTCGGTAAAGAGATATGACAGTTCAGGATTATTATGACTATGTGACCCAGCGTTGGCTTGAGTATGAGACTCTACATCCTCTTGCTGCTATTCCGAGGATAGAGCCCAAAGGAGCAGCATTCCTGCATATTCGAAAGTAAGAAGATAGAATTCACAAGTTCCTAATGGGGCTTTGTGATGAGTTTGAGGGACTTCGTTCACAGATCTTGTCGATGATGTGGCTTCCGTCTCTTTATGAGGTGTATGTGATGATTGAATAACATAAGTGTTGCGTCTCTATTGCATCACTTTCAGTTGTGGCCTTTACTCCTCCAACCTACCAGATGGCCCTTGCAGCTGCTGCAGGGTCTTGTTCGGAATCCTCAGCCAGAATGGACAGTGCTCGGACTAGTGCTGACAGGATGCCCCAGATCAGCGCAAACAAAGGAATTCTCGTTAGTGTGATTATTGTGGTCGACCAGGACATCTCAGGGCTGCTTGCTGGAAGCTCCATTCAGAGCTTAAGCCACCTCCTCACGGCCGTACTGCTGTTATTGCTGAGGTACCACCACTTACTGTCGCTGCTCTTATTGCTCTTCCTTGGTAGAGTGATATGGATGCTATCACTTTTTTATTAGATATACTTATGTCTGCCCTAACCTCTCAAGGTCCGACTACTATTACTGTCACCACTACAGGTATACCTCGTACTTGTCATGTTTGTGTCAGTCTGTCTCTTCTTTGGATGCTGGACTTGGGTGCGAATGGTAATATGACAAGTGAGGCTCATCACTTCACCACTTTTAACTAGTAGTTACATACATAGATTCAGCTAACAGATGAGACACATGCCCTTATTGTTAGTAGGGGTACAATTCGCCTCCCAAATAACTTTACATTACATTCAATTTTTTATGCGCCAAAGTTGACCATGAATTTATTATCCATACATCAGTTAGCTAGAGATTTTTACTGTGCGGTTGTGTTCTTATCTGACTCGTGTTATTTGCAAGACCTGAGTACCAGGAGGATTATTATCAGGGGACATAAGAGAGATAAACTGTATTATCTAGGTGATCCACCTCCAGTTCCACCACCTCCATCACCTGCACCCGCTTTGTTTTTATCTATTTCTAGCTTGCATGCTAGTATTTTATCTAGTACTTGTCATTATGATTTTACATCACAAATTGTTCAGTTGTGGCATGACCGTTTTGGACATACAAATTTTAAATATTTATGTATGTTATTTTCTGTTTTGAGCAATTCTTGTGTAGGTGG